TTGCTTCACATCACGCTTTGTACTACCTACATGACCAAAATTCGTTTTGATTCTAGTTTAATTACCATTTTTCAGACAAATTCTATTGAAATATATGCATAAAGTTTATATTTTTATTACTGATTGTGAAATTATGTCAAATCTCCCTGACCAATGTGGTATATCTCCCAGAGTAGTCTTTTTAGTGTACAAATTCAAATATACCTAAATTTGTAGGGTGTGTTTGACAAACCACTATTTGTTGGTTGTTAATCTCTTTGACTCTCCATGTTGGTAGCCCTAATACTGTGGTCCTAAACTCCAAATTTACCAAAATAGGAACATTCGTTTGGCTTTTCTATAATAGGCTGTCTCCATTTGGCTATCTCATTTGTCATATTCATGATGAATTTTAAATGACCTTGGATAGTGACTAGTAATGAATGTCATTATAGAACTTTTGCATATTGCACTTTGTACTCACATGACCAAAATTCGTCTTGATTCTAGTTTAATTACCATTTTTCAGACGAATCCTATCCAAATATATGCACAGAGTTTATATTTATATTACTGATTGTGAAAATGTTGTTAATATCCCCTCGCCGTACCTCCCAGATTAGTCTCTTTGTGTACAAATTCCAAGATACCTAAATTTGTAGGTTGTGTTTGACAAACCACTATTTGTTGGTTGTTAAACATTTTGACTCTCCATGTTGTTGGCCCTAATGCTGCGGTCCTAAATGCCAAATTTCCTAAAATAGAAAAATTCGTTTAGCACTCAAAATAAAACAATTTTCTATATTATGCTGTTTCCATTTGACTATATTATTCATCATATTAATTTAATTACTCTTATTCTGGCGAATCCTCTCCAAGTATAAGCACAAAGTTTATATTTCTGATTGTGAATTGATGTTAAATCACCCTTTCCGATGTGTAATACCTCCCAGAGTAGTCTTTTTTCGTATGCAAATTCCAATAAACCTAAATTTGTAGGTTGTGTTTGACAAACCACTATTTGTTGGTTGTTGATCTTTTTGACTCTCCGTGTTGGTTGCCCTAATGCTGCGGTCCTAAATTCCAAATTCTCTAAAATAGGAACGATCGTTTGGCATTCAAAATGATATAATTTTCTATAATATGCTTTCTACATTTGGCTATCTCATCCGTCATATTCATGATGAATGATAAATCACCTTGGCCGGTGACTAGTGATGTCAGTATAGAAATTTTGCTTCACATTACGATTTGTACTACTTACATGACCAAAATTCGTCTTGATTTTTATTTGATATCTAATTTTCTAAAATATATATCTCATCAAAATGTATTTTCATAGTTTTAATTTTAATACTGATTATTAAATGTTGTTGCGATCTCCTATCCGAATTGTTATATTCATGAGAATAGTCTTTTTGTGTACAAATTCAAATATAACAAAATTTGTAGGGCGTGTTTGACCAGCCTCTTTTTGTTGGCAATCAAACTTTTCAATTATCCTGACTGCTCTTACTGCCAGATTCCTGCTTGCCAAATTCCCTAAAATAGTTGTATTTGTTTGGCTCTAAAAAATGGGTATAGGGCGTTTCAGAGTTTCCTGGAGCGCGATAGGACCCCATCTACAAGTCCTAACGAGTGGGTCAACCGACACCTCCTGGGTCCACTTGGAAGCTCGGTAGAATATTCAGATAACTTTTATAGGAAAACTATTTTTTTATACAAATTAGTTTTGATTGTTGAAATATGCAACGTCTATTTTTTGTGTGAAAATAATAAATATTTTTTCATAAAAAAATGTTTTTGTTTTCTATTTTCGAATTTGACAGTGTCTATATCGAGATGACAGATCAATTCGGGTTTTCGTTAAATTACGTCTTCCTTCCCAAGTGGAACTGTCTGTATTAGCCAGGGGTAACCACATAAATTTCTGTAGTCGACCCACTTGACATTGATTTGCTCAGTATTGGCGTGAAGACTGTAGAGAGATGCATCGTACGCGCAATTTACAGGGTGTAATATTTAATGCCTGCGAGAGTATCTTTAAACGAGCATTGCCACACCAATTTCAACACTTTTTGGAGGTGTTTTATAAATTTAGAAACTGTAAACCAGAGATAACACGGTCAGTTTGCACAAGAGATAGAATGAATCTAATTGATGAATCGAATGAGTTTTTATCATATAAATTTGGAAGTGTTACGAATGTTAGATTCTTGATTTGGGGAAATTTTGAAATGTTCGAATTTACAAGTGGTCTATTCTGAGACCCGAATTTGGTATCAACCAAGTAGCATAGATTAAAGATTTTGCCAAGTTGGTATTTTCCAGTAACGGATTGCATAATATTGCAAATTTGTGTTCCGAACAACCCTAATGGTATAATGTATTGTATTTTTAAATAATAAAATTTATTCCCTCTTGATCGGAAAGACATGTTGTTGTAGTTTGAAAATTGTGAAATTTCATGTTTGCCATCTATGTAAAATTGGTAACCCCGTAGTTTGTGTACAAGGTTAGGGTTAGGCCATAATTTTATTCCGACCAATGACGAAAGTGTCTAACAGACAGACAAATACCTATCAACATACTTACCGATCAAGATCGATAAGCAATACCTAGTTTTATTTGTCTACTTTACATCAAACTTCCATCGTTGACTCTCCATCATCACTGTCGGTCACTCATAATGTCAGCTTTTGATTTAATACGAATCGGGAAAAACACATATAACAACGCCTACTCTACAGGATGGTTTTGCTGACCCCTACAACGTGCTGCCCGTTCCGCCCCCTCTAGGCACCCCACTACTCTTCAGACAAAATTTAAGGTGTTTTTCATTTCTTTAGTGTGTATGATATTATTTCAATCTATAACAGGGCATAAAATCGCTCCAATTTTGATCTGAGATGTTTTATAAATTCAGAAAAGTAAACAAGAAATACGACGGCCAGTTAGCAGTGGCACAAGAGACAGAAAGAATCAAATTAGTATTTCTCCTTTGACAGTCAGAAATTTGGTTTGTACATTCACTAATTTGAATTATCTTAGCATTTTCATTAATTAAAAACGAAACTAAAATGAAACAAAAAATTAAAAAGGGTAATTAACACATTAAATTGTTAAAGCAACGCACCTCATAGTCCCAGATGAACGCTTTCAATTACAGTATGAATACACCTGCTTCGAATCAACGAAGCATGTTCAATGTAATTTTTCGAGAGTAATTAGCCTCGTCATAGGCTGCCAAGCGTGACATCGTTAATTAAGTAAGATTCTAATCAACCGATCCTCACCAGTAGTGGTAGCTCAGGGGAAGCGTAGAGACATGGTCAAACATTAGGACCGTGGTTCGAACCCACATAGTAGATTGAGTCTCGTAGGTGGTTGACCAGCAGCTTGGGCAGACGGTCTAGGGGGAAAGGGCAGGTGAGAACAGCAGCCAAAGAGAGCAGAGAATGAAAGGGGATAGAACCCAGCTGCTCAGGGCGGGGCAAAGATAAGCGAGGAGGCAAGTGAGAATCAAATCAGCGAGGCTAAGAAATGGATGTGCTTCAAACACCATAAAAAGGGGGGCAGGCGATAGAAGAGAGCCAAGCAGGATATAGAAAGGAGATTAGCGTAAATGGATGGAGAGCAAGCAGTTAAGGAAAAAAGGCCAGCATCGAAAATATATCAGCGGTCAGATAAGACGAGCGTGAGGATGAAAAAAGCCCCAAGAAATATAAAAAGAAGGGAATCGGGGCGGGGAGACAAGGAGCCGAGAGTGAAAATTACGAAAATAAAAAAAAATTGCGAAAAAAAAGGCCGAAAGAAAAAGTGGAAAATAGCGAAAAAGAAAAGTGAGGAGAGTGGAGTGATCGGGGCGGGAGAGTGGAAAAATGAAAATAGCTGATAAGTGAGAGTGATCGGGGCGGGAGATATAAGGAGCGAGAGTGGAAAAATGAAAATAGCTAATAAGTGAGAGTGATCGGGGCGGGAGATATTGATAATGAGCAAGAGTGCAATGAAAAAAATAAATAACAAGCGAGAGTGAAAATTGCGGAATGTAAGAAAGTCTAATGCTATAAAAATAATAAACGCTATTAGTATTTTTAGTATTATTAGTAGAATAGAGTAGAAATAGTAGAAATAGAAATAGTAAGAAAAAAAAAAGTAGAAATAGAAATAGAAAAATTCGAGGAACTATATAATAAAAATTCAGCGAGGAAAAAAAGCTAAGGAAAAAGGAATTAATGAATATGAAATGTATTAATGAAAAATAAAATGAAATGAATGAAAAAAAAATGAAAATAAAATGAAAATATGAAATGAATAAATGAAAAAAAAAAATGAAATAAAATAGAGGCAAAAAGCAAAATTAAGACTCGAAAGTCAAGGGAATATAAAATAGAGATGAAATGAAACAGAAAAACCATGTGGACTGACTGAAGCAGATATTTAGCTTCGATTTTAATTTTCTTGTTTTCGCGACGGTGAATTTCATGCTTGTTTACCATCATATCTGGCAACACTGTATAGAGATATTATTGTTCAGTTGATTTTGATTCATTTTCCCGGCAGTTGTGGCCATTTTGTGCTATCAATTGCCGGACTCTGAGAGGTTCTGGTGCTGAGTTAAACATGGATATATGTAATTTAGTAATCTGTCAACGTCTAGGATGCCTTAACTTATCGTATAAGATTGTCAGAACGCCAGCCCACACTCGTGTGAGTTCTGGTGCTGAGTTAAACATGGATATATGTAATTTAGTAATCTGTCAACGTCTAGGATGCCTTAACTTATCGTATAAGATTGTCAGAACGCCAGCCCACACTCGTGTGAGTTCTGGTGCTGAGTTAAACATGGATATATGTAATTTAGTAATCTGTGAACGTCTAGGATGCCTTAACTTATCGTATAAGATTGTCAGAACGCCAGCCCACACTCGTGTGACGCTAGCCCACACTCGTTTTTGTCAGGCCATACTACAGTACTACGGGTAAAAGGGACGTGCTTGGTACCGTATTGCATTTGCGTTGTGTATATCAGATATGATCTCTATATTGTCAGAGCTACCAAGTTTTTAAGTAATAACGTTTATAAAGTCAGTAAAATAGTTGGTTAACCCGTTGACGTCAGGCTGAGTGTGGGCTGGGGTAACTTTGGTGCGAAGCGGTCTTCTATATTTCCGTTGTTACTTTGGCAGGATATGGTTCTTTCTAATTCTAGGCTTGTATTGTTTGCTCTCTGTTCATTTTCGATTGGAACATGGGTCGGCTACTACTGGAGGAGACGATTGAATGCTCCAGAGATGGTTCAAATGCACAAACGTGTTATTCAATATCACTCGGATGACAGGTACCGTAATGGTGTAATACATAATAGTGTAATGCATTACTGTAGTGTAAATTGTGTGTTAACCAGCGCCAGGGTTTTAGTCCTTACTTTTCCAGCTGATTCTGACATTTAACTAGAAATAAAATTGGCCTAAAACTTGTGGAATGGAAAATGATGATGGAAGATAATGCGAAAAGAAAATCAGACGGTCTCTCCCTTTACAACTTAATGGCTTTTGATAAAACATTAGTCAATTAGTTTAATATTTTAAGAATGGAATATCCATGAATCTTTTTCATATTTTTGTCAATTTGGCCTCCAATCGTATCGTACTACATTATACTTGTATAACATATATATATATATATATATGCAGTCACAATATAATAATCATTGTATTTTTCAATGTAATCTTTTACATTATTATATCACTTTTTTATAGTTCACTTAATGTTCAACAAGCGGAAAAAGTAGGGGAAGTTCTTAGAGAAGATCATCATTTCAATGAATTTTCGAATGGAATTTGTTCTCCTCGTTCTGATATCATGTTTCTTAAAACACATAAAACCGCTAGTTCAGCCGTCCAAAATGTTTTGCTTCGATATGCGAACAAAGCTGATTTAACAGTTGGATTATCGAATACTCAAGATATAAGATTTCATTATGGACATAAATTTCAAGCACAATTTGTTGGACCTGCAACAAAACCCATCAATATATTATGTCATCATATGGTCTTGAATTATCCAGAATTACAAAAAGTAATGCCAAGAAATTCAACCTATGTCACAATCCTAAGAGAACCAAGTTCTCTTTTCGAATCTATGTTCGATTATCTACATTATGATAGTACTCCGTTTTCAAGAGTCAATAAGAGACCAAACTCGTTGGAATATTGGCTGAATCACACTGATCAGTAAGTTTTCATTGAAATATTTTTTATGTATCATCTTACTTTTTTTGATATTTTTATGGTGGGAAATCACAATTAACTTCACCTGTTTTGTGGAGACTGTAAATTCTTTTGAGAAAAATTTTAAAACTTACAAGTATACAAAAGAATATAGTGTGAGAATCACTGAGAATGTCAACATTCCACATTGAGGCTCTATTCATGGAATTAGAATACTGCTGCAATGTTATTTTTGAAAGAACTGCTTTCAGTTTCCAGTCGACACAACTGCCTATTTTGGTAGGTGAAGTGAGAGACATGAGAATAGAACAATTGTCCTTTTTATTGGGAAAATTTTTACATTCCATTTATCTTATTTGTACTCTAATATATATATCTTTAAATCTGATGTTTTCTGATAATTGAATTGTTCAACATTTTTCCCAGCTTCTTCCGTGGTAGAAATGATGGGCGATTCTGGTGGTTTGCAAAGAATGGAGTATTCTTTGATATGGGTTATGACAACTTGAGCGACGATGACAAATATATTCAACAAGCAATTAGCGAACTTGATAAGATCTTCGATCTTGTTTTGTTGTCTGATTATTTTGCCGAGTCGATGTTGCTACTGAGAGAACATTTATGTTGGTCTATGGCGGATATTTTAGCATTAAAAACAAATGCGAGAGATTCTCCGAAGACTGTGTTAAACGATCGAGTGAGAAAGAAAATTTATGAATGGAACAAAGCTGATGCAGCGGTTTATCAACATTTTAATCGCACTTTTTGGAAAAAGGTCGAAGCGTATGGTTATGAGAAAATGAAAGCTGATATGAAAATTCTGGAAAAAATGAATGCCGAACTGCAACAAAATTGTATTGATGGTGGTGCCGTGAGTAATAAGTATATAAAAGAAGCATCGAATAAAGTATATAATCCACGTGGTGTTGTAATGAAAGGATATAACCTTAGAGGATCAGCAAAAAATAACCAAACTTGTATCAATTTAATAAAAGGTGAAGTACAATGGACCAGACAAATGATGGCTCAAAGGAAAGCACGATCGTGAATTGTGGTTACTCACATTTATTGTGTGTCCAGAAACCCCAACTCAGCAGGTCATTCCAATTCTAGTGTGGATAAGGATTATAGTTACAGTAATTCTTTTCCTTGATACACACTCTGGTCAGTCATGTGTTATCAATTTGATGACTTATTAACAGTTTCATATCATTTCGTTCATATCATATTCAATGCAATATTAGTTGGTGGTTTTTTCTAAATATTCTATTCCCCATACAAAGATTTAGAACTTTGAAATTGATTTTTTATTCAAGCTTTTTATCAAGTTAGATATCTTCTGAATTTTATTTCATGTTTTGCATATTGGGTTTGTTGAAAGAAGTTATCTATCCAAGTCCAGGATTTAATATTTGTAAAAATACTTTACTACACATTGTCTATCCTTAAATCAGTATAAATATTAGGGTTTCTGACTGGAAATAATCAGTTATCCAGTTCTCAGCGTTCAATGTTATGTTATCATTTCTGTCCTTCGCAGATTATGCTATACTTAATATAATATACGAAACTTAATATACTAAATCAAACGTTTCTTTTAATGTATCTATATACTGTATATCCCATGACTGTTTAACTTTTTTATTGAACTATGAACTTGCCTCAATTTTTATTCTCGTAAACTTTGCATTATTTTGTTCATTTTAAATCTTGGTTGAGTGAAATGTGTTTGTTAAATCTGTAATTGTTAGATGTATTATATCATTTGCAATTATTTCACTTGACTTGGCTCGGAATGTTTTATTCTATAAATGATTTAAGAATACTTGGATCAAATGAAAATACTTTGGGAGGTAAGATCTTCATATGATTTAAATACTTTTATAAAAATGGTCATTTTGAATCAAGTTAAACGAAAACAATATTTGGGTCAAGCCCTGTATAAATTACAAAAATAACAAAAACATGCACATTTTCAAAATTAGGATCCATTAAATATACATGCATTGTTTCATGCAATTTGTACTCACAAATACACTCGGTTTGAAATTATGATAAATTTTCTAGTTTCGAACATCACTGATATACATTCATACTAATATTCCATTTGTAAAATCTTAAGTGTGATTTTGTTAAGAATTTACAATATACATATCATATTGCAGTATTCGTTGACTTCAATTTTTTATTTTGCCAACTGGAGTTGGTCATACGTACTATATCATCACTGTTATTTACTTTATGAAAAATTTACCAAACAACTCTGCAGTAACAAACATGCTTAGTACTTGCCGCTCGCTTGATATTTTTGTGCCATGATTTTTATTTAGTTTATTTTGCGGAAAGATTATTAACAATGATTTGATATGAATTCTGTGTTTTTTATTATTCGCTCTTGTGGAATATTATAAGGCAATATAAAATCTAATGTTTGTAAAATAAAATACATCTCATCCAAGCCTGCTTTTTTCAAGAGTGTAAATTCCTGGGATCGAAGCGTATGATGTTAATTAATGAAATTTACGTAGTGCATACATATATTTTCAGAAATGAGGGAAACTGTTGTGTTGTTTGTGAGTTCGATATGAAAGATAGCTTGTTCCCAAAATATGAATCCCGTCACCGAATACGAGGTCACGTATTCCAGCACCCTGGCGGTTTAATATAATTTTGAGTTTATTAATTTCTTTCAAATTTAAAGTTATTACCAAATAAGCTTAATCTGAAGATTTGTTAAATTCAATGCGGGACGCCTCAGTACATTTATAGAGATAACCGTCTTATTATGACGTCATAATGGACTTCCTTGTGACTAAATTTGACGTCATTGTGATTTTTAACTTTAGTAAGAATGTAAATTTTTGAATGACCGTTCAAGATCACGAGCTCAGTGAATAAGATGTGAATTTTGTTACGATGCTAGCACGTGACCCCTCTAGGCCTCTTTCCGACGATTGAAAGTGATTCATTTCTTCTCGCCTGTGGTGCGGAGTTTTTGAGCGAAACGCCTTCAGAGAACAACATATAACCGCATTGAAGATAGCAATTTCAGCATTTAAACGATCCTTGTTGTTATTTTTGTTGGGGTTCGTCATGTTATAGTTGGGAAAATTTGTATTTATTTTCTTCACTTTTTTTGTTCGTGTTCTGTGCTGTATACGAAAATTCGACATAAAATTGTATTGAAGCACATTGTTATTCCTTCTGGCTTGGTCACCCCCGTATTTTTGTCCGCCGATCCAGCAAATTTTATGATCTCAGGTCGTACCGGTACCGATGCGCGGCCTTCGTTTCAATGAACCCATGTCGTACCGGTACCGATGCGCGGTCTTCGTTCCCACATATCTGAGAATTTCTAGTTCGATAATTGTAACATGACTGATTAAAAAACCATTGTCTAAGCCAGGGTCGTCCAACCCGTGGCCCCGAGGGTCATATGTGGCCCGCGCTGATTTTCAGAATTTTATAGAAAAATTAAGTAAAACTTTTTTTCGAGTGAAGTAGTAGGCCTATACAAAGATGTGATACAAACGATTTGTTTATTTCCCTGAATTGCGCTCTGCCAGCCCTTCCAAACGAGCCATGAGTGCCATTTTGAATCGAAACCAACTGAGAGGAGATATCGATACATAAAGATGCCATAGTTGCTTACACACTTGGTCTTTTACTACTCTGTATGATGTCATCGTAAAACAATCGAAGCCATTCTCAGATAAAGAATTCGGGAATGTATATTTGTATTGTTCGGATTGCAAATGTTTTACGTCCGGAAATAAAAGAGGTGTTTGCAAAAATAGCCTGTCAAGACAGACCATAACTCGTCGTGTTGAAGAGCTTGGGAATTCTATTGCGGAAATTTTAATTGCAAAAGCGGGAAATTTTGTATCGTATTTGTTGACGCCTAACGAAAGCACCAACATCAAGTTTACTGCTCAGTTGGCGACTTGCGATCTTCTTGCAGATAGTTAATGATATGATGTGAAATTACCGTGGAGCTCGCAGCCATTGTCCCTGTTAAGGGTACGACTAGAGGCATGATGTGATAAAAATGATCAAGCATCTTGGCTTGGCAAAACTTTCGGGAATAACCACTGATGGCGCTCCATCAATGGTTGGGAAACAACAGTTTCAATGTTCTAATAATTAAGAAAGTTTGATGGGAGGTAATTTTTTTCATTTTAATAACCACTCATCAGTGTAGCACAACTAGATCATAATTACCATGTCAAGTGGTCCGCGCAATTATTAATGAACCACATGTGGCCCTTCGGACAAAAAGGTTGGCCGACCCTGGTCTAAACCGATCGGGTTGAGAGTTGCCAGTTTTTTCATCAATATTTTTTAATGTTTCAGCTACCATGAAGATATACTATCCCCGATGTATGCCGTGTTAGACTCGTGGCTGAGTGTGAATTGAGCAGCGGAAAATTAACACAAGTCTATTGAAGTTTCATCTTTAATATTAAAATATTGTACAAAATTATAAAAAATGCATTCTACGAATATAAAGCACATTCAAAGTTATTCAGTATTTTTATAAACTAATTTTGGAGCATGAATACATAATGTTCATATATGCGCTTAATCAATGAATTACAATAATAAATGAACATACATAGATACATTTAAATTTGTAGTGTTCCAGTCTTCGATGACGAATCTCTTGTTTGATACTGTATCATATTTCCATTGGATTCTTTTTTGCGTAAACATTGGCACTTGGAAAGTTTTCGAAGTAAACTAACAGTCTCTTTTCTCATTTTTCTGCAAAATAATGGGGGGTTTTAATATGCTTCTAGAATAGCAATTCGAAAAATACAATTCCCTAAACTTGACTTTGATGTTATTTTTCATGATTTACAATATGGTTAACGGAGAGACTCGACGTTGAAATTTGAACCAAGTTTGGTTTAATTTAGAATTTCATCCAATTATTTTATTTATTTTTTCTATAGTGCTCGCCTATGATTACGACCATTGAGTTTGAGGGAGGCTCTTCAACCTAGTTCGAAAAAACAATTGTGGTTCCGTTTTCACGTATCCCAGCCCAATTCCGCAGACAATTTTGAAGAGAATGTTCATTTAACACAGTGGTTTCCTAAGTTGAGTGACAAAGGGGGTGGGGGCAAATTTAGAAGCGGATGGATATTCGCGGGCCGGGAGAGGGGGCACCGGAAGGGGAAGATACCGGTAGACCTATAATTGAATTGTTACGAGTATACACAATCACTAATTTAATAACATTACCCAAAATTTGCGCAGCAATTCAAACTAATCTACGATTGGACAAATTGTTTTCACCCACCCTGATGCTATGTTATAAAATACTGGATTGAGACATTCCGACAATCGCAGTAAAATATAGGAAATCATCCCAAAATTCCAATCAACTATTCTTTCTTTTTCATCTATTGTTGTTGTATCCACAGTTGTTGTGTAGAAATTATAACCTAAAAATACGTAAAATCATTATTATTTCATTGTGCGTTCCCTTTTTATATTCAAATGAGCATTTGGTAAACTTAATGAAAGGTACTACTATAATCATTTTTGAAACTAGAAATATACAGGAGTGAAAAGTTGCTGGTAGTCGTTCTGTAAGTATATATATATAACGTTCCATCCATAAATGTCATCAGGAAATGGCCTAATCATATCTTATATTACCTGGTTAAAGTCAATTCATATTTTGTTTAAAGACCACGACTTAACGAAATATAAGAATTTCGCAAGAGTTTGTAAATTCGGAATCAAACCGTTGCATCCAAACTTATAGCTTCGAACGACAAGGTACATGCTTGTTCTTTACTCCCACAAAGTACATGCAATGATTTATGGAGTCTAGTCGTGATAAATGACATAAATTGTATGGTATCTTACATATTATCGGTATATATCCAAACATGAAAGATCCACCGATGAGAGAAAGTTGAAGGATGGCTTTGTTTTCTTTCTTTTGCAATTTTCTCCGAATATTTTCCATTTGCTTACTGGCTGCTTCGGCTACATTAGAGAAAATACACGAAACATATTATTTCTTGCGTAATGATATTATTTAATTAAAACTTTGAATGTGATAACTTGCTGTTACGTTTTCATCTTGTTTTTTAACTTTCGATTCTATAGCATGCGATCTCGCCAAAAATTCACGGTGTTTGAAGTAGTGCTACCTTGAATTATAAAATAAGACTGTACTTACGCATTGGAGGAATCTTTTTCTCCGACCTCGTGGTTCTTCTTTTTATTAATAACAATATGATGGCGATTGAAAGTATAAAAATTGCTATCATTGGTAGAAGAATAAATACAGGAAATACGATTTTCGAGTATATTCTGTACTGTGATAACCTATATATAAAAAAGCATTTTCAAGTTTTGGATTTATTCACAGATTTTAATTCAAGTTCATATTCTGGGATGATTAGACTAGGTTATAATTTTAATGTTCATGGAATATCCAATGTTGAACTACTATATGAGATATCAGATATTATATTTTTGCTAGATGTTGGCGACGATATTGTTACTTATCGATTTTGATCGGTAAGTATGTTGATAGGTATTTGTCTGTCTGTCTGTTAGATGCACGCGATATCTCACGAAAGCGAGGTCGAATCTGCTCCAAATTTTGCATGTGCATTCATCATATCTCGGACCAGAAGCTATTGATTTTGGATGAATTATGTCGTATAATCAGCGAGGTATTAATTAATTAGTGATGGGACACGCGGTGTCACTATAGAGTCGTGAATCGAAACCGCAGTTTCGATCGATAAGTCTTCGGTCTCCGACCGATATTGTCGTTTATTGCTTTAATGGTGTTCTGTATGAGACCCAACTTCTTTTACTTTGGAGTTTTAAACCGGAAGGAAGAAGAAAACATAAGCCTGAATGCTACGGGAAAAAATATTTGTTTGAGTATCCAGAACACTTACCAGTCAGGGTCCAACGTGCATGCAGGCCATTTCGAATTTGGTGGTCTTTTTCCAGCTTTATATGCGAACCAACCTGGTATTCCACCGCAACACAAAGCAACAACCCATATGGAGATGACAAGGGCCTAAAGTAAATGATTTATTTATTAACACAGTGGAGAAACGATTTCTAGTCTTGAGGGTGAAAGGTTGCGAGGTTAATTCGCATTCCACAGTCGGAAACGGAGAACTAACAATAATACAATGATCATTGTTGAATATAACGAGTCTTGAAAATATATACGGATGAACACCATGTATTTACTTATTTACTCTGAACATACAACCGTCATTTTTGACTGCGTTCCCGAAGTATGTGCACAAAGATGGCGTACAACCTGAACCTTAACCTGGTACACATACACATTCAGGTTGTGTGCCATCTTGGTGCACATACTTCGGGAGTAACTTTTTGACATACCTTGACGTGAATTTTTCTTATATTTTTATAATTGAACGGCCATCTCATTGAAATAAATCGTATGATACAGAATAGCAAAATGTGAAGAGTAGTAACTCCGCTCGTCCATATATCAGTTGCCATAAAAAGCTATTGGAAAAAAAACAAGAAAATTTTTTACTAATATGGCGGGTGAATTTACCGTTCTAGGTTTCCGTTCTTAATTCTTTGCAAAAGACTGTTATTTTATAATTTGGAGTTAAAGTGGGGTTCTTGCATTTCATCTGAAATATTTATCACCTACTGAGTATGAAAAACAACTTAACATTTTTGAAAAGAGGTAGCAGTGCAATAATGAGAAATCGAAATACTGTACAAATATTTCAACGGATTAATTAATGAAATACTAATTATGCCTTCGAGTCACCGTGCCATTTCGGGCTTGGCTGGAACAAAACAAGCCCAATTACATTTTGATGCTATATTTTAAAAATATACAATAATTAAACTGAATATTTGGAATTGAATATGCACCGTACACAAAAAGTTGCCTTTAATATTATTGTATGGTAATTCGACCGGATTAATAATTGTGCATACAATCAATGAAAACGCTATTTTTCGAAGACCATGGCGGCATTGATTATTTCTTCACTGAAAGTCAGGTCATGAACTAATGTCGTGATATGATGGATCTATTTTTGATACTTACATGAAAATAATCGGTGAATTGAGTATTGTTATAATCGTTGTTTTATTTTTGCACAGTCTATTTATTAATTTGCTTGAAATGACTCAGAAGTTTGAGTATTGTTGTAATCGTTGTTTTATTTTTGCACAGTCTATTTATTAATTTGCTTGAAATGACTCAGAAGTTTTGCGTATTACTTGATAAAATATTCGTGCGAGAATATATCAACAAGAGACAAAGCGGAATTTACAAGTTTTGCTCTATCCGCTCAAGTGCATAATTAAAAGCAACATCAAAAGTAAAAAAGCCAAAAATATTACTGCAAAAGTATTTCTGATATTCAGAAGACGAAATAAACATATATATTTATATATCAATATAAAAACGCTGAAATAAAAAATTATTTGAAGTCGATGGCAATGAGAATGACATACATTACAAAATTCTTTCGGAAGAAGCCATTCCTCAAATCCCCAAGTTCGCCTGTAAAGTGCTAGAGGGCTTACGATAGCTGATAGAAGATCAGATACACATAAACTGATGATAAGTAAATTGAAGACCGATCTGTCGAAATAAGTGTAAGATTTTAATACATGGTTGTCATATTTGTTTTTGTGCTTGTGTATTCGATAATTACACTCTTAAAAAAATATGTAATATCGCATCTTGAGTGAAACTATGAAAGATAGTTCGATCCCTTGAATGGCAGTCTTATTTATTAAATATGGGAAAGGGCATGTATCCAATGTCCCAGCTTGGCACCTTCGCCATGTAGATTAGTGTTTCCCAACCAATGGCTAAAACTTACTAATTTTATTATATAGTAAGTTCTATTGTTTAATTTATATTTTCTATTGAGGTGTTTCTCAATAGTGATTGCATGTGTGGGTATCATTTTGTAAAAACTTGGCAGAATTTATTTCGCTCAAGTAAAGCCACGCGTCGATATCAAACACTCGCTGATGGAAAAATAAGCTGGAGAAATAAATATAAAATTGATTGTTTTATGGTATACATTTAAATCTTGGTAATAAAAGCACTACACGTTTATTATTTGAGTATATCCTTGAGTCGCGAGATTTTACAAAACTTTTTTTTTTAAATTTGGGTCGCTCGAAAAAAAAGGTGGAAACCACTGTAGATAATCCTCACCCTTTCTCATCAGCTCTCCAATCCCTAGCCTACTGGATAACTTGTGTTTAATTTTCGAAAAGATAATGTCTCAATATTAAGTTTATTTACCACTCACTTTAAACTCTTTGATGCCGCAATTACGATTATGGTAACGAGGTTTCCCATGATTCCAAATATCATCATCATTAAGAGCAATGTTGCGGTCACAACACTTCCACCTTCGCTGAAAGGACGGTCCTGTGCACTAAAAAATATAAAGCATTAAAACATATTCCACTATTAATAAATTCATTTTAAGATAATATACTTACGTTGTATTTATGAGGTCTGTCGTTACGTCTACCATGATGACTCATCCACAATTTTCACCAATGTATAATGCTATTCTTATGTACTTTCCATGAAAAGAATTAATTGTGTTTGTTTAATATCATATGTATAAATAATGATCGTTTATTGTCTTTTACCAACACAATTTGCTTTATCAAGAAAACTTTCAATAACAAGCGTGGGTATATGTTTGAAACTAATATTCAACTCCTTTATTTCTATTCTTCACTTTTATAGTTTCCAGCAGGGGTGGCAAGCTGCGGCCCGCGAAAAAGTCTCAATTTTGAATGATGTGTGGTCCGCGAAACGAGTTTTTAATTTAGTAAATCCAATCACTTGCGTTGCGAAGCCTGTACCTAAGTCCGATTTATTATATATGTCTATGACGTCACAATGCGCTAACAAGCTAGCTTTTGCGAAACGAACAACTGTCATAAGATCAAAATTTTTGTGCCTGCAACTATTAGAAACCTATTTTAAATAAAGGTGCGGCCCGCGGTTTCATTCAGTCGTATCTATCCGGCCCTCCTGTATCAAAGGTTTCACATCTATTCTATACTTTTAAATTTTAGTATTAGTGCCCTTTTGTATCCCTAGTTCAAAATTTATATATGTATATATAATATTGTAATCGATATGCCCTTATCCTGGTTTACGTTATTAACTGGAGTCTAGTCACTAAACAATCCTGACCTCACCCAAGAGTTGAGCCAATTTTTTTTAATTCTGCCAAACGCAATGATGAAGATATTAATTCAAATTGACTGAAAGTTCAAAGTTGTTTGGTTTCAAAATTTCATACCGTTTTATACCATTTTCCGATACATACCGTTAACGGAACTTTACCATAAATTACCTACAGTGCGCGCGTAATGGGAAATATTATACAAAAATAATATGAGCCGCATACAAACCACTCATTAATCGCTAAAAAATATTCCAAAGTAATAAAACGTCAACTGCGTCAGACTGCGACTGCGTTTTAAAGTTCAATTTTCTACGTATTTTCATATTACACCTGTCAATAGCTTATGTACAATTCTGAAATTTCGTGCAATAAATGTCATTTATTATTGAAAATCTATCAAACAGTTTGTGCTCAATCAATATTCTTTTATCTCAATTTCTGAAATTAATTTTTGAGATATTATCAAGTTATAGTAAATTTTGTTATTAAATATAACGTCTTAAAATTTTAATTCTCAAATTGTTTTGACTCGTTGACGCGTGAATTAATACATTATAGCTAAAGTTGTTTTTTTAACTTACATTCTCTCTAAATCTCTCCAATACCTCTCCCTCTGAAATTCCATTTTAAAAACTGAGAGCTACAATTCCTAACTACGGCAAATAAATACAAAACGGCAATGTACTTAATGAGTTTAAAGTCCAGGTCACAATCCACAGAGCGATTTTTCATCGAATGATGTCGCCGGAAAAATGATCTACCGACCTGATATCAGGTCAGTGGCAACCATGTATATTTGAAGAAGTCATGTTTGGCATGAACAAGCCTTATCCCGTCTATATACGAGATCATAAGTTTCAGACAGAAGTGTATTAAGGAATCAGTCCTCGTGCCACCTGTTGTCAACGTTTTACCAACTTGGCGGAAGTGTCTGTCTAACTGTATAACACGTCACTTCCATTGTCATTTTAACGCAAAGTTTCCTGCGCAACAACACTATTATTCTGGCGCTCCAGAAGTGTGTGTACCAATATGGAGGTAACCAATGTAGTTCGCCGACTTTACATCAAGTTGTGTAAAGGGACTGAAACTTATGGGCAGGGGGTATATTCACTTAGCTAACACAGACAGTCCCCAAACTCGTAATAGAGTTAAAATAGGAAAAATCGGAATAAAATTATGCCCTAACCTGGTACATACTACGGGAGTACCATTATTCTTATAAGAAATGCAATCCTTATCAATAATTTTTTTCACAGAATTGATACTACGTTTGGAAAGATAAGGCTATTTGTTTTGAAAAGTAAATGTATACCTTACATGCCATTGCGCTCAAACAAAAAGTATGACAGTTCTTCGGCGAATATGCGCTATCGAAAAGTTAAATCCATTCGCGCACTCCTCAGATTATCGCTCAATCAAAATCGATTTCCAATGGGAACTTTTTTTTTAGTTATGATAACATCCCGGAAACATTATATTTAGGATCAAGTCTTACGTGTTTTCCCCATTGCTTGTAATATATACCGTGTTTTCCCGGAAGTAAGACCTAGCATGAATTTTAAAAATGATTTTAATATAAGCCCTACCCTTAAAATAAGACCTGGTCGATAGCAAAAAATCCTACTCGTTTTAAAGGATTAATAATCTATGGTTAGCAGTTATTTTGAATAAAAACGTAGTATTTATAAGTAAATGAATATCGGTTTTCATATTTTGTATATTTGAAAATCTCGTAATTCCCTAAATAAAAATAAAAGACATCCTCCAAAAATACACTCTCTTATTTTCGGGGAAACACGGTATATATGTATATATATTTAATCATTTTCATAAATTCGCCTTTTATATATAGCTGTCCTAACAGATTTTCCAATATGCAAAATTGAATTCGCAAAATGCCACACATACCCACGAAGATTACTCGCAACTTAAGATATCTTCACGACAGACATATACTACCCAATCTGCGCAACAAAACTACACCGTTATTATGGCATCAGAAACAGGTACACTGTGCTTATAGGATATTTCTACGCATCATGACTTCTAGTCTAACGCATACTGACATATATTTTATGGATTCCTTGCGAAATCTTTATCTCACAATTGCAAGTTATGGTCTATAATTTATTATGTTTGATTTACTATAGATTCATAACACGTATATATATATATTTAAATAACGATGTATGTCATGTCACTGTCAGTGTAACAATTGCATGATATTTGATTTTTTAATTCCAAAATTTGTATTCCTGGTATTGTTCAATAAATATCACGAATTTGCGATAATATAAATATATCATATATACCAGCGTTTGCCAAACTTTTTCGGCCACGTAATATTTACACTTTTTATCTCGCCTCGCGGAACATCACGGTGTAATGTAGCGGTTCCCAATGCGTTCTCGTGGCTAGTTGCCAAATGCGTCGCGAAAACTAACAGAATTGTGTTAAACATACCTAAAATGTGATTGCATATTTTACGTATTGTATTTATTATAAAAGTTTTATTGTTTCTTAATTTAAGTGCTGTGTATGTGAATCAATTCATTCATTTTACCATTTTATGTCGTTTACTTTCCATTACGTAGTGTTTGCTACTAATGGAGATAGAAGTACTTTTCGCAATTTCGCGAGCTGCAGACCTGCAGTTTATTTATCTACTGGATAGAGTTTAGCGAAAATGAGTAATTTTTTCAGCATTTCCGGTAAAACCCGGCAGAGATGGCGGAAGAAGGGTTGATCTTTTGTCTTTATTCTTTACACCTACTTGTTTGCCTGTAGAAAAATCAAAAGGATTGCTGTAAACTTGCTAATGAACTTAACAGTCAACAAGCTAGACCGATGGTTACTTAACGAAAATGCCACTACCCCACCCTATGGTTAGGCCGACGGCGACGCGATATCGAACGGTCAGTCGGGCGACAACTTCACGTTCCATAGATCGCCATGGCGACCCCTTTAGACGTATTTTTGATTTCTTTTCCACGGAACACTTCGAAGATGCTGGCGGAACAGAGTTTGGAAAACGCTGATATATACAAAGTTTAATCACGAATTAGCCCAACTAAACATCTTTCTTCGAACGAAATATGTCCAAGTTAGGAAAATCGTGTCATACATATAAACGCCATTAACATGTTCGTGTAAAAAGTCGCGGTCCAGGCGTGCGAATAAACGTGATAGTCTTTAAATGTGAATATATTATCAAACCCACAGTAATATTAAAGTTTAAAGCAGGACGCCATTAAAGCAATCGTAACGCGAGACACCCCAAGGCCCCGGGCAGGGAAAAGTAATGAACTATTCAGTAAAAGACTATGACATCAAAATCACAAATTGACTAAGGGAAGCAACTAGTTATGACGTAATTACACAATAGAGAACAGTGAGCTTGGGTTTCAGCCGTTTAATAAACCAAAATGCCGTATTCAGATTGAAACACTCGTAGATTTGGCGATTTATTTGGCAGTAAATATGATAAATGGAAGAAACACATTGTGAAGGTTTGCAGATGAGCCAGCGTTTCTGATTGTATCTTTTTAGCCCACTAATCTTGTGCGATCTTAGATTATATACTGTATGCGTTAGTATAAGTTCCTTAAATTACGTAGTTAAATGGTAAAGCCTTCAAAGCCAAAACACGCAAATCAAATTTCTGTGATATGGTACTTTATTTCGAGCTATAACGTGACAACTAAAAACGCTGACAATCTACTTTTAAGAATAAAACAATGAAGACAGAAACAACTCAGTATGACATTTGATCTATACCAAAAAAACGAATTTTGCCTATCTTTGATTTTGATGCCTTCATTTGATCTATCATCATTAGTCATAAGCTATTCACATTTTGGTGAGAATATGATTTTATAACCATCTAGACCAAGGTGGTCCAACCCTGGCACGCGGGCCGTATGTCATGCCACCCATTAAACATAACAATAGGCTGATTATCAGGGTGAACTCTCATTCTTTAATATACCTAAAGTAAGTAAACTCGCAGTTCTTCACTTTTGAGTTTTTCCGACTGCGGCCCGCAAGGCCCTTCCAATTTTTTGCGGCCATTCAATCTTGGATCCTAGACTCTCGAGGGTGTTTTGAAATATTGTTCGAGAGATTTACACTTACCAATTGTATATATATGCCCAATGAACAATTAAAATATTTTATGCATTTTTTTTAAATTCAGCAATCGATTACATCGAAACGAATATACATTCCGTTATGGTAGGCCATGGGATAGATTCGAACAAATCTTGTCTTAACGGGCTTCGGAAATCTGTTGACAACTTTGGTTGTTCGATCTGAGTTGGCCTGGAATACCTTAAATAGAAAAAATACGTGTGAATAAGCATTGACATGAAATGATCATGGAGTGCCCTTACTTTAACCCAATCAGATATCAAATATACGGTACCCCTGCAGTGTGTGTACCAGGTTAGGGTTAGGCCATAATTTTGTTCCGATTTTCCCCATTTCAGTTCTATGTAGTGGTATATATTTACGGTTCTATTACGAGTTCGGGGACTGTCGGTGAGAGCTAAATAAACGTACCCCCCTGGCCATAGCCTTCCGTCCTTTTACACAACTTGATGTAAAGTAGACGACACTGCTGGAGCGCCAAATATACTATACAATGCCTAATCAAATATGGAAGTTTCCCCGATCGTCGAATTCCGAGTGTTTTTCCTCAACAATGACCAATCACCAACAACTCGACGATGTGATGTAACAATTAATTCATGTGACTGTTCAGACGCTTTACCACTCAGAAAGGTTTTCAAGCCTGCTGGCGACATTACGACTCGTTTACGTGGTTTTGCTAGTTATTTGTCAGTTTTTAGTTCCGTTCCCGACATTTCTCTTTCGAAATCTGCACTAAACTTAGCTATTGGTACTTTTTGAATGACAGGTAGTTTGAAAAAAAAAATAATCGCTAAAAACAAGTAAACCAGGCTGTGTGATCGCCGCCTCACGAAACCACTCGTAAAATAAGAGAGCAATTCTCAAATATATAACAACGAAAGCACTTAGCAGTGAGTTCACAAAATCAAAAGCAAGGATAACCGTGACGTACGCGGTCACGCTTGGCGGAACAAACAGGGATGTTCACACGGTAAAACAGCGAATGTTTTGGTGAATAATCAATCTCACAAGTTTTGAAAAAAAAAATTAAAAGTAATAAATCGATTGACCAATGCATGGTCTGGACAGTGGAAGAAGCTGAAACCGACCAAGAGTGACGCCCCCCATCCTAGGATTACCATATTTTCGTGACCTCAAAACGGGACGCCTCCAAAGACCATGGCCGTCATTTTTTCAATTTTAAATTTACCGATTTTCCATCAGGGGCCTACATTTAATACCACCACGACTGTCTTGAATGACTATATTGCCATCAAGAGTTCATGCGCTGTCTGTCTAAATATCGGTTTCAGTTCAATAGGAAGGAATTTACGTTAACGTTAAGCACCCTTTTGGCATACATGGCTTACACGCAACAAATTGTAGCAATTATCTGCTAACAAACAAAACCACTCATCCGCCTTCAGTAAGTAGGCTATCGGTACGCTACGCAGCAACAACAGTATTGAGAACATGCTAATTGGTACAGTTCGTGTATTATGCTGACTGAACGCCAAAGCGCGACTTTTGTCTGACCGGGCGGGACGCCGGGACAAGACGTTGAAGAGTGAGACTGTTCCGCCTAAAACGGGACGTATGGTAAGCCTACCCAATCCACAAAGTGTAATCATCGGTGTCGCAGGTTTCATATTGCAAATAATCGTCAGTAGGCTACTTTTATGGCAGCAAATGACTGACAGAAACAAACTGAAAGAGAAGAAGAAAATAGGTTGAATCAACAATTTACCATTTCACTCCCATCACTCTTTTTGACATCAGTAAAGTTGAAACCATCCCGACTATGCTCAACCTGGAACTGTTTCGTCCAAGAGTCAGCGTTGAATCTTCCTTGTGTTACGACACCGGTGACTGGTCGAATTTTACCAAGGTCTGTCATTATCCATTCGTGTCCGGGGTTGTCTGAAATATGCGTACGAAAAAATTAATTTCGTCAGAGCTGTAGCGTTTGCCAGCAAGAAAGATTCCCATAATCGATAGGAGAGTTATAGCTGCAAAGCAAGTATACTCCAGGTGTTACATATATATACATATATTCATTGTGTAACGACAGAGACACAAACAGATATTGAGTTCAAACCACGTTGAAAAGTGTGTCACGTACATCGAAAACATGTTTTTATCAATGTATCGAGCGAAGTTTGTATCTGTGAGTAGGCTACATGCAACAAAGTATAACTTACTTGAGTTTGGATACCATCCATGCGATCCGTGATCTAGTCTGCTGTACTTTTTTGAGCCAGAGTTTGAAGAGACCGTAATTGAACTGTCAGGTATGCTCCCATCTTTCATCCCAAGCAGGCAAAACGTTTCTAAATTAAGGGTGATAAATGTATTGCATAATTATTACATATGATACATGAATAAAAGGAGGCGCATAATAAATTGTTGTTTGAGTCATTCAAATATAAATAGAATGAAGTTAGAATGTCTACAATCGTTTTAAACCGACATAGTCTCTAAGTATAGGAGATATACTTTTTAAAACGGAATAAAACTTCGATTCGAAGGACGCATAATCAAAGTCTACTAAATGCAGATATATATATACCTGTATTTCCCGACGAATAAGTCCACCCGGTGAATAAGACGAGCCCCGTTTTTAAGTCTGAAAAATTTTGCACATAACCTCCCAATAAGACGAGCAGTAAAATCGCATCAAAATCGGAATCTCAAATTACCATGCAACGGCTTTCGATCATTCCCCACGTTTGCGAATTCGTTAGAATAGTCCATAATGACGTTTTGTCGTAGCGTAATATTCAATCCATTACAGCTACCGGAATGCAAACTGCTTTCAATCTAATTGTGCCCAAGGTAAGGTATCAGTATAATAGCCCTTCACTCGTGATGCACACACAAATCCGGTAACTTCAAATCACAGCGTTGAAACTCCACATTCACAGCGCGAGAACGCCGATTTATTTAAACTGACTTGATCGGGACGTTATGGGGATGCTAGCGCCCAAGTTATTTTATGGTCCGAATTAAATAATACGCGACCCGACAAAATGAAAATTATCATACTCGCCCAGAAAGACGCCTCCCCCCCTCCAAAAAAAAAATCAGGCCAAAAATCCGGGTCCAGAAAAGCGACTTATCCGCCGGGAAATACGGTATAAGTTTTATTTGTTAAAATTTTTATGCACCACCGTCTAATGGTAATATTACCTCATTTCACCATTTGGTAATGTTTATATTTGTGCATATAAACAAAAATTTGAAGAAACAACTTCAGAAGAAACAAAACATTACAGTGGAAAAGATACTTGCCTGGAGATGTTTTTCTGATCCTTTGAACCTTTTCTGAAAATGAATAAGGTTACATAAGAGCAAGTGATGGAGTAAAAGCACGACTAGAGACGGACATTTTTAACATATTATCATTACTTTACTGTAATTGTACAAATTAGCCCACTTGTAACAGAGACATTGTCTTTAGCCCAGGGGTCGGCAACCTTTTGTCGCTCGCGAGCCAAAATTAAGGGTTGCAAGTCATTGGCGGACCGCACATATTTTTAGATAGTTGAAAACCAAACGGATAATACTTTTTATAATCAAAATCAAGCAGTGATACATCTCTTGAATAGAATATAAATTTATTTACTCATTGCATCTCAAACAATTTCATTTGAATATTTTCAGCGCCAATGAACCCTTGGCATCTAATGGCATATAATCGTCAAAACAGCTGTTTTGTTGCTATAATTCAGTGAAGCGCCGCGGCCGGATTATATTACTCCGCAGGCCGTAGGTTGCCGACCCTTGCTGCTTTAGCCTGTCGTATTTATTCGATGAATTGTCTTATACAACACTATGTGGAATCATACAGTACATCTATTTATTTGTGCTCACATTGCTAATCATTTTCAATGACTTTTTTAGGTATCGGCAGATTTGGATGGAAAAATCCTATATATCGTCACGCTAATAACCGAATTGCGTAAGTCATTTTTAGCAGTTTTGAGAAAAACGTAAAAAACTTCCTAATGATATTGTTATGCCAAACAATTTAATTTGTATGACGCAGTTAACTGACGTCATAATGGCGCACTGTGACTTAGGCAGAAATGTGTCTATGACTTGGGTACATACGCACTTTACTATATGCACCAGTCCTGAAAACTAAACATTCCAAAAACGAATGTAATTCTTAGTATCTACAATGTCTAATCCCCAAAATAGTTAATCAGTTCCAATTACATTATTTTATATGTTTAAAAATATATATTTTATCATTATAACACGTTCTGCACACCCACCGAAATAAGACTAAGATTAAATATAAAGAATAAAACAGCAATGCACCCAATATAAAAGCCAACCAAGGTGAATTGGACTCGGACAGTCAATATCACAAATGCGCGTCTTCCTAGACTGTAGTATAAATTCAAATTAATACGTGCTAAGCTAGAATCCGAGATGCAAAAACTCGAAAATACTTCGCCGAGGGTATTTTGTCTTTGTGACGTCACAATAGTACTGCGGTAACCATGATAATTCATTATGACGGAACAGTTGAACAAATGTGCATGTCATACTAAATCTCCATTTTAATGGGTTTCGGAATTCTTAAAATAAAATCTGAGTTAACAGGCAGGTGCGCAGCATTACATAAATATCTATTTTATTGTAGCGAATGTGCATTGTGTAACTATGAATTATAATGTATTTAACCCTTTCATTTTAATAGTGTGTCCCATTTCCCACAATAGGTCATTTTATTGTAGCAACACTGATTACTGATTACATGTACTGCCTTTCTCGTATCGACCAATTTGATGACGTATCGTTCCGGCTAGCCGAGAGGGCTGCATAATATTGTGTTTAGATCCACTTCTGTTTTACTGCGTTAAGTGTGATGTGTTTTGATTCACTCCTGATTTACTGTGTTAAGAGTTAAGTGTGTCTCAATTTTATCTGTTTTCGGAATTTGGATTGTGCATCTTCCTATAATATACAACAACGATTAGCATCAACACTGTGTGCTTATTATCGTCTGAAGGAGTGCAGATTGGAGTCACATTCCATAACGCGTGTCAAAACAATAACGCGGGAATCGAACTTAAACATATAGGGTGATAGTCTTTATCCCATCATCAGCATCTTATCTCTTTCTCCCTATATTATAAAAAACTCAAAATCGCCAAAAATGACTTACACAATTCGGTTATTAGCGTGACGATATATTTAGTTACCTATCTATTGCTATGTTAATGACACGTTAAGACATACAGCACTTCTGACGTTTTGCGGATTTGGCTATATGAAATGTGTGTAACACACTAAGATAGTTTTTCACCTTTTAAATCTTTGTTTTCGTTCTGCAATATTAATACTTCTTCGGGGATACAATCGCAAACACCAGGTGGGCCAGGGGATCCTTGTGGGCCACTCGCTCCAGCAGGGCCTCTCTTTCCTGGTCTGTGCGGGCCAACGTTGTCAATTTTATTTCTTGCGTCTAAAAAGAACATACTATAAATATACTCGCCGGCGTTGGGTGGGATCCGTACTCAACAAGCCACCAGCGTAACTCAACTGATTGGCACAACCCGAGACTCGGATGGCTTGTGACCTTGACTCGCGAGTCAGGGTTTAGCGACTTAGACCCAACGCTAATTGCCAAATATTGAGAAAAAGAGAATTTGGGATTGGCTTTTTTGCCGATCCTGCGGAAATGACTTTTATTCGATGCATTCGTTTTTCCCGACTGTGACGGTTTTACAAATTGGATTGTTTGAACTAGATTGGATTGTTTGAAATAATGAGTTACAGAAAAAAGCGTAAAACTCTAAAAACTGCCACTTTTGGCGGTTTAAAACGTTTGAAGTTTTGATATAAAAGTGCTGCGTCTGAACCTAAATTTTTTGAACAGTGTTTGACTTTGATTAATAAATTCTTCTTCGAACTATTGAATATATATAAATAATTTATTCCGTTTGTTTATACTTGAATAAGGTATACAAGAAATAGCGGAAATGTAAGTAACAATCCATAGCATAGATAGGCCTACGACGAAAAAAAAAATTCATTAGTGTTATCAGGCGACACTTGAACAAGTGGGACATCATACATGAGATAAAACTTCAACGAAAGCTTTGTGCACTGTTACGCAACATGAGAAAGAAATCATACAGAATCCTCTCCCGCACTCCGCACAAGTTTTTTTTATTATACGTCGTTGCATGGTTGCATGCAGCCACTAAATATATACACGAGTCTTAGAAATAAGCATGATATGGCCTATACCGCTTGTTAGATAAATGTGATAGCTTACCGGGCAAAGGTTTCAAAATATTTGTAGCATTTCGTTCACTTTCACTTACGTCTTCAGCTCCTGTTAATCGTTTCATTGCCCACGCCATGCACCTTGCTTCAGCATCAGCATTGAGTAGTACACTCTGGGCTTCAGCAATCGATTTGACCACAACGATTGACAAGAAGATTATCTTATACATTTTAAAGGTATATATCTATATAATGTGAATTGAAAAAATTCAAAAAATATCAGATCAAAATATAAATCAAACACAGTTCCCCGAATCTAGTCAATAAATGAAGGTAAACATGTCACAGAATCAAACACTGAACAATTGAAGCCTATACTCATTATGTCCCTAGACTATTTTCCAGTTATGTTTTTTGATAAAATAGTTTATTACTTGTGCTCAATCTACTAATATGAATATAGTATAGAGTCTCTATTTTACAATAACGAGCGTCTCTGGATTTGCCAGACATCCTCTGGATACTTGAACGTTTCTAATATATTAGTGTGAATATTTTGTTTCCATATTTAATTTGAGTTTTTTAGTTTTTTTTTCATGCTGTATGAGACCCTATATAAGGTGACTACTTTGTTTTTATATTCATATTTAATTTAAGCTTTCTATTTTTATTTTGTTTTCCCCATGCTATGTTAGACCCCCATCTAGGGTGTCGTTGCTCGATAACGAGTAGGCCTACTCGTTTGTGAATGCTATTCTCGTTTTATTCTACACTGCATAGGTGCGTTGCGCATTTTCAGCATTGGTGGGAAAATAAATTACTGAAGCTCTCACATATATACAAACGGTTAAATGAAACTGAATTGATTTTTGTATTGGATATGAAAATACGTGGGTAAGCTTTAAAAACAGGAAACAATTCAAATTTGCAAATGCAAAGTTTTGAAGCTATTGTGGGAAAATCGCTTCAATGGAAAATATGAATGCTTTCAAAGTTCGACGAGGCCAAGTTTAAAATTAACACGATACGTGACTTAGATGATGAATTCACGAGTATATATCCACAACGTGTAATAATCTGGAAGCAATTGGAAAGTTTGCATAAAATCATTGCTGACGAACAAATGGTTTCTGCTATTAATGCGAAAAAATGCAAAAAAGGATTGACGGCTTGCACGTTCAGGCATTGGAATTGCGTTTGAAATATTTATTTCTCATCCAAAAGGTACAACACAAACATAATCAACATGAGAATACAATAAAATCAACCTTGATAAAGCCTGATAACTTTCCTCTTATTCTAAATGAATGTTTGGAATCATATCATTGGATATGAAGCTTTATGACATAATTTTAATATATCACGAAAAATGAATAAATCACTAATAAATACTCAACAAGTTATGCACCCAAACAGACAGATATTGTATACGTCGGTTAAACAAATTTGCAACATATTCTGGGTTTGCCTCAGCGGTTCCTACTTCATTAAAGTCGACAGCCATCCCAGCTTAAACATTGAATAAGTCAAGTTACATTAAGTCAAATGAATTAACACAATGCTGAATTTTGCTAATGAGAAAAATACTTATAGATCTCATCGGATGAAATCACATACGCAGCACGAGGCAATTTTTCAATAATTAAAATTTATTTCATTCTCTAGTTATATTCAAAAAATCTCAATCAACAATATATTTTTTCCTCCAATTCTATTGAAATATTTATATTATTTGTCGCAGTAAATGAGTAAGACATGATATATTTTTGAAATACTGTAACTCAAAGACTGCCAAAAAGAAAATACAAGTTGTACTTGGAGTTTTATCAAATATGTTTCATATACATCCGGGCAAGTATCGCACAGATCTATTGATATAACAAAGCTTTTTTTACTGTTTTTGACTTATTATGTACTTTTAGTCATCTTTTATATTATAATTATTAGAAATAAAAAAGCGTAGCTCATGTTTTGTATCACGAAACAAAAAATACTGAAGTGATATCCGGACTCCATCCAACGCACAGTTCACCACGCTGATAAGTGCTAGCGTTCGCTCTTTTTCGACCCATGTCTGACTGACTTGGTCTGTTTTCTTTTTCGAGGTAAAAAGTTAAAACTTTCTCGTTAAATTGTTTCGTTGTTAGGGCGATTTCTTTTTAGATCAGGGGGTGGCATTTTGGTGTTTGGGTTTTTTCGATCAATAAAGTCTGCTGGAACATGCTTTATTACTTTACGGGATATTACTTATTCAAGACCTAAAGACTGGCTGTTTAAGAGCAGAAAGGTTTAATGTATTGTATGTGACCCACAGAATCCTGGAATCGGTTGCAGTATTGTCATTTGTGCCGGGGTTTGGGATTTCTATGTTGATGGATTGAAAGCTAAATGACTTTATTGAACATCTGTGTTCTTAAATTAAAGATTCCTGGATTCGGGTATCATCGTATCAGTAGGTTACCTACTAAATATCGAATAGCCCTTTTTGTCGGTGACTACCGTACTGTACTAAAGACTGTTCAGGAGGGGTCCTAACGAATACAGAAAATATGTTTATTCATGTAATCTGAATACCATACATTTTCAGATTTAAGTTTTCTCAGACATCAGGACATACTTCTCAGATTTGAATGGTGCTGGTTTATTCTGTTATTATATAATATTTTCATTTTGTTGCAGGCCTAAGCTGATCAAAGATGGGTATATCGAGGGATTCATGGCATAAGAGGCGGAAGACTGGGGGTAAACGACCCCAGCCCCACAAAAAGAGGAAGTTCGAATTGGGTCGCACGGCCGCTCAAACTAAAATTGGAGGAAAACGAGTTCATATGGTTCGTACAAGAGGTGGTAACAAGAAATTCCGTGCACTTCGTCTTGACAGTGGCAATTTCTCTTGGGGTTCTGAAGCATGTACGAGAAAAACCCGTATCATCGATGTCGTCTATAATGCCAGTAACAACGAACTTGTACGTACGAAGACTCTGGTGAAGAATTGCATCGTTCTTGTCGACAGTACTCCATTCCGACAGTGGTACGAGTCTCATTACATGACTCCACTGATGCGCAAAAAGGGAGCGAAACCATCCGAGGCTGAAGAAGAAGTGCTGAACAAGAAGCTCTCAAACAAAACCCAGAAAAAATACGACGAGAGAAAAAAAGTCGCTAAAATTGCCAGCAATCTCGAAGACCAGTTTGCTCAAGGACGAATCTATGCTTGTGTGGCTTCAAGACCAGGGCAATCTGGCCGTTGTGATGGATACATCTTAGAAGGCAAAGAGTTGGAATTCTACCAAAAGAAAATGAGGGCAAGGAAAGGAAAGTAGTTGTTATATTATTATTAAAAAGTATGACAGTTCTTCGGCAAATATGCGCTATCGAAAAGTTAAATCCATTCGCGCACTCCTCAGATTATCGCTCAATCAAAATCGATTTCCAATGGGAACTTTTTTTTTAGCTATGATAGCATCCCGGAAACATTATATTTAAGATCAAGTCTTACGTTTTTTTTCCATTGCTTGTAATGTATACCGTGTTTCCCCGAGAGTAAGACCTAGCATGAATTTTAAAAATGATTTTAATATAAGCCCTACCCTTAAATAAGACCTGGTCGATAGCAAAAAATCCTACTCGTTTTAAAGGATTAATAATCTATGTTTAGCAGTTATTTTGAATAAAAACGTGGTATTTATAAGTGAATGGATATCGGTTTTCATATTTTGTATATTTGAAAATCTCGTAATTCTCTAAATAAAAATAAAAGACATCCTCCAAAAATACACTCTCTTATTTTCGGGGAAACACGGTATATATATATATTTAATCATTTTCATAAATTCTCCTTTTATATATAGCTGTCCTAACAGGTTTTCCAATATGCAAAATTGAATCTGCAAAATGCCACACATACCCACGAAGATTACTCGCAACTTAAGATATCTTCACGACAGACATATACTACCCAATCTGCGCAACAAAACTACACCGTTATTATGGCATCAGAAACAGGTACACTGTGCTTATAGGATATTTCTACGCATCATGACTTCTAGTCTAACGCATACTGACATATATTTTATGAATTCCTTGCGAAATCTTTATCCCACAATTGCAAGTTATGGTCTATAATTTATTATGTTTGATTTACTATAGATTCATAACACGTATATATATATATTTAAATAACGATGTATGTCATGTTACTGTCAGTGTAACAATTGCATGATATTTGATTTTTCAATTCTAAAATTTGTATTCCTGGTATTGTTCAATAAATATCACGAATTTGCGATAATATAAATATATCATATATACCAGCGTTTGCCAAACTTTTTCGGCCACGTAATATTTACACTTTTTATCTCGCCTCGCGGAACATCACGGTGTAATGTAGCGGTTCCCAATGCGTTCTCGTGGCGAATTGCCAAATGCATCGCGAAAACTAACAGAATTGTGTTAAACATACCTAAAATGTGATCGCATATTTTACGTATTGTATTTATTATAAAAGTTTTATTGTTTCTTAATTTAAATGCTGTGTATGTGAATCAATTCATTCATTTTACCAATTTAGGTCGTTTACTTTCCTCTTATGGAGATAGAAGTACTTGCCGCAATTTCGCGAGCTGCAGACCTGCAGTTTATTTATCTACTGGATAGAGTTTAGCGAAGATGAGTAATTTTTTCAGCATTTCCGGTAAAACCCGGCAGAGATGGCGGAAGAAGGGTTGATCTTTTGTCTTTATTCTTTACACCTACTTGTTTGCCTGTAGAAAAATCAAAAGGATTGCTGTAAACTTGCTAATGAACTTAACAGTCGACAAGCTAGACCGATGGTTACTTAACGAAAATGCCACTACCCCACCCTATGGTTAGTCCACTTTAGGCCGACGGCGACGCGATATCGAACGGTCAGTCGGGCGACAACTTCACGTTCCATAGATCGCCATGGCGACCCCTTTAGACGTATTTTTGATTTCTTTTCCACGGAACACTTCGAAGATGCTGGCGGAACACAGTTTGGAAAACGCTGATATATACAAAGTTTAATCACGAATTAGCCTAACTAAACATCTTTCTTCGAACGAAATATGACCAAGTTAGGAAAATCGTGTCATACATATAAACGCCATCAACATGTTCGTGTAAAAAGTCGCGGTCCAGGCGTGCGAATAAACGTGATAGTCTTTAAATGTGAATATATTATCAAACCCACAGTAATATTACAGTTTATTGTTAAAGTTTAAAGCAGGACGCCATTAAAGCAATCGTAACGCGAGACACCCCAAGACGCGGGGCAGGGAAAAGTAATGAACTATTCAGTAAAAGACTATGACATCAAAATCACAAATTGACTAAGGGAAGCAACTAGTTATGACGTAAATACACAATAGAGAACAGTGAGCTTGGGTTTCAGCCGTTTAATAAACCAAAATGCCGTATTCAGATTGAAACACTCGTAGATTTGGCGATTTATTTGGCAGTAAATATGATAAATGGAAGAAACACATTGTGAAGGTTTGCAGATGAGCCAGCGTTTCTGATTGTATCTTTTTAGCCCACTAGTCTTGTGCGATCTTAGTATACTGTATGCGTTATAGAGTATAAGTTACCTAAATTACATAGTTGAATGGTAAAGCCCCCAAAGCCTAAACACGCAAATCAAATTTCTGTGATATGATACTTTATTCCGAGTTATAACGTGACAACTAAAAACGCTGACAATCTACTTTTAGAATAAAACAATAAAGACAGAAACAACTCAGTATGACATTTGATCTATACCAAAAAAACAAATTTGGCCTATCTTTGATTTTGATGCCTTCATTTGAACTATCATCATTAGTCATAAGCTATTCACATTTTTGTGAGAATATGATTTTATAACCATCTAGACCAGGGTGGTCCAACCCTGGCTGGCACGCGGGCGCATTCCATGCCACCCATTAAACATAACAATAGACTGATTATCAGGGTGAACTCTCATTCTTTAATATACTTAGAGTAAGTAAATTTGCAGTTTTTCACTTTTGCGTTTTTCCGACTGCGGCCCGCAAGGCCTCCTCAATTTTTTGCGGCCATTCAATCTTGGATCCTAGACTCTCGAGGGTGTTTTGAAATATTGTTCGAGAGATTTACACTTACCAATTGTATATATATGCCCAATGAACACTTAAAATATTTTGATGAATGATCAGTTATACAGTAGAATATGCATTTTTTTTAATTCAGCAATCGATTACATCGAAACGAATATACATTCCGTTATGGTAGGCCATGGGATAGATTCGAACAAATCTTGTCTTAACGGGCTTCGGAAATCTGTTGACAACTTTGGTGCTTCGATCTGAGTTGGCCTGGAATACCTTAAATAGAAAATAATACGTGTGAATAAGCATTGACATGAAATGATCATGGAGTGCCCTTACTTTACCCCAATCAGATATCAAATAAACGGTACCCCTGCAGTGTGTGTACCAGGTTAGGGTTAGGCCATAATTTTGTTCCGATTTTCCCCATTTCAGTTCTATGTAGTGGTATATATTTACGGTTCTAATACGAGTTCGGGGACTGTCGGTGTTAGCCAAATGAATATACGCCCAGGCCATAGCCTTCCGTCCCTTTACACAACTTGATGTAAAGTAGGCGACACTGCTAGAGAGCCAAATATACTATACCAGGAGTCACCAACCTTTTCGAAGCCGAGGGCTACTTTTTGGGTACAGATTAAGCTGCGGGCTACCAGTTCAATGCACACTTCTAAAAAATCAGTTGCTCGATTAAGCTTCAATTATTGATATAATTACTGGTATTTAGTGAAGTATAGACACTAATAAACTTTAGGATTCTTCAGGAAATCAAACGATTATCACAACGTTGCAAATAAATTTCTATCAATTACACTTGTATTTCAAAACTGAGTGTTTTCAAATTGATTTTCAACACTCTGCACAAGTCTAAGATAAAATGGACTTAACAGTTGTACTATCGAATATTGCAGAGTATTATACTCCGACGTGTAACTTGACACTGTAACTCTGAGCGAGTCTTGCAGATTTTCATCAGTGAGGCGTGTTCCATGTTTGTTCCTGATGGAGTGAGTCGCGGCGCTATGGCCCATCGTGTTAAGCGTTAGGTTCGCAGGTTAGAATCCCATGCGGGGATTATTATGTGCAAAAGGATTGCTGGAGCCTCGCCGCCGTAGGGTGGTTCACGTAACCGCTGGTCGGTTAAGGCTTCCTTCGCCATCAAGTTCAGGCTTCCGGAAACAAATAACTAACTAATTCCATACCCGACACCGAATGGTAACCGGCGAGAAGCCGTGGTTTATCATATGGTTAAGCCGTCCTATCGGCTATCTTCTCCCCCGGGATAAATATGTAAATCTCCTATCCTGAATTTATGTCAAAAATGTTGATTCGAAAGGATAGGTTACTAGGTACTAAAGGATAGGTTACCAAGTACTCATACTTGGCATCCTTAGTTACGACACCGGTAACTGGTCGAACTTTACCAAGGTCTGTCATTATCCATTCGTGTCCGGGGTTGTCTGAAATATGCGTACGAAAAAATTAATTCCGTCAGAGCTGTAGCGTTTGCCATCAAGAAAGATTGCCATATTCGATAGGAGAGTTATGGCTGCAAAGCAAGTATACTCCAGGCGTTCCACATATATACGGTTCCATTACATTTGAACCCACGACGATTGCACCTGCACACTATTGCACCTATGAAAAATTTTGTTGTTTTACGGATATTTGAACCCATACTAACCCTAACCCATGGGTTTAGCACCCGCATATAGATTGAACCCGCGAATATACACATGGGTTCAAATGTACGTGGGTTCAATATTGACTTACGTGGGTTCATATTGACTTCAAACAACGTTGAAAAGTGTGTCACGTACATCGGAAACATGCTTTTATCAATGTATCGAGCGAAGTTTGTATCTGTGAGTAGGCTACATGCAACAAAGCATAACTTACTCGAGTTTGGATACCATCCATGCGATCCGTGATCTAGTCTGCTGTACCTTTTTGAGCCAGAGTTTGAAGAGACCGTAATTGAACTGTCAGGTATGCTCCCATCTTTCATCCCAAGCAGGCAAAACGTTTCTAAATTAAGGGTGATAAAAGTATTGCATAATTATTACATATGATACATGAATAAAAGGAAGCGCATAATAAATTGTTGTTTGAGTCATTCAAAAATAAATAGAATGAAGTTAGAAACTCGCCCAGAAAGACGCCTCCCCCCTCCAAAAAAAAATCAGGCCGAAAATCCGGGTCCAGAAAAGCGACTTATCCGCCGGGAAATATGGTATAAGTTTTATTTGTTAAAATTTTTATGCACCACCGTCTAATGGTAATATTACCTCATTTCACCACTTGGTAATGTTTATATTTGTGCATATAAACAAAAATTTGAAGAAACAACTTCAGAAGAAACAAAACATTACAGTGGAAAAGATACTTGCCTGGAGATGTTTTTCTGATCCTTTGAACCTTTTCTGAAAATGAATAAGGTTACATAAGAGCAAGTGATGGAGTAAAAGCACGACTAGAGACGGACATTTTTAACATATTATCATTACTTTACTGTAATTGTACAAATCAGTCCACTTGTAACAGAGACATTGTCTTTAGCCCAGGGGTCGGCAACCTTTTGTCGCTCGCGAGCCAAAATTAAGGGTTGCAAGTCATTGGAGGACCGCACATATTATTAACAAGTTGAAAACCAAACGGATGATACTTTTTATAATCAAAATCAAGCAGTGATACATCTCTTGAATAGAATATAGATTTATTTCCTCATTACATTGCATCTCAAACAATTTTATTTGAATATTTTCAGCGCCATTGAATCCTTGGCATCAACTTTTCTGCGTTCTGTTACCATATGCTAATTATAATCAAATTATGGGCTCATTAAACGAGTAATTGTGTAGTAATTTTATACTTGTTAAATTGTAATATAATTTAGTCTACACGTGTCTCACAATAAATTCTGTTACGTAAAAATATAATCGTCAAAACAGCTGTTTTGTTACTATAATTCAGTGAAGCGTCGCGGGCCGGATTATATTACTCCGCGGCCGTAGGTTGCCGACCCTTGCTGCTTTAGCCTGTCGTATTTATTCGATGAATTGTCTTATACAACACTATGTGGAATCATACATTACATCTATTTAATTGTGCTCACATTGCTAATCATTTTCAATGACTTTTTTAGATATCGGCAGAGTTGGATGGAAAAATCCTATATATATATATATTTATTTACCTATCTATTGCTATGTTAATGACACTTTAAGACATACAGCACTTCTGACGTTTTGCGGGTTTCACTATATGAAATGTGTGTAACACACTAAGATAGTTTTTCACCTTTCAAATCTTTGTTTTCGTTCTGCAATATTATTACTTCTTCGGGGATACAATCGCAAACACCGGGTGGGCCTTGTGGGCCACTAGCTCCAGCAGGGCCTCTCTTTCCTGGTCTGTACGGGCCAACGTTGTCAATTTCATTTCTTGCGTCTAAAAAGAACATACTATAAATATACTCGCCGGCGTTGGGTGGGATCGAGTCAGATGACCCGTACTCAACAAGCCACCAGCGTAACTCAACTGATTGGCACAACCCGAGACTCGGATAGCTTGTGACCTTGACTCGCGAGTCAGGGTTTAGCGACTTAGACCCAACGCTAATTGCCAAATATTAAGAAAAAGAGAATTTAGGATTGGCTTTTTTGCCGATCCTGCGGAAATGACTTTTATTCAATGCATTCGTTTTTCCCGACTGTGACGGTTTTACAAATTGGATTGTTTGAAATAATGAGTTACAGAAAAAAGCGTAAAACTCTAAAAACTGCCACTTTAGGCGTTTTAAATCGTTTGAAACCTCTATTATTTGAACAGTGTTTGACTTTGATTAATAAATTCTTATTCAAACTATTGAATATATATAAATAATTTATTCCGTTTGTTTATACTTGAAAAAGGTATACAAGAAATAGCGGAAATGTAAGTAACAATCCATACCATAGATAGGCCTACGACGAAAAAAAAATTCAGTAGTGTTATCAGGCGACACTTGTACAAGTGGGACATCATACATGTCACGTCTTTTGATAGCCCGGAATCTATATCGACGAGACACAATGAAAACGTATCGAACGCGCCACTCTCAGCCCCTTTGTCCACAAACAAGACACGTGCATAAATCACTTCTTTATATTCTTGGCAAAGAACAGCGGTTTTCTTAAATAAATAAAACAAAATTGATTAACATAAGTCAAAGCATATAACAACAACAAAAGGCAAATTTCTCACCAAACGTTTTCCGATCCGGGAGGCTAATACAATTACAATATATACCAGATAAATAAACAGTCCACAATACAGACAAATATCTGCGACTCTTTACACGACGAATACGTGATGCAAATGACCGAAAGGAAAACGCTAAACCAGACAATAGATAATAATACTAATTTACGCTACAAACAAAGGGTAATAATGAGTCTACAATGATTGGATGCAAGGCAGAGCACGATGCACTGCATACAGTGGCAAAATATACGACAAACGTACGTTTACAACGTAACATACCCCCACCCGAATATATGACCCAGGGAATATATTCTAAAAAATTAAACGTTGTAAATGAAACAATAATTCGATCGACTATTTTTGGTCTTCTAGAAATCGACATAGTTTAGTAATGGGTCGTCTGACAACATTTGTGCCGGTTCTCACCAACACTGAGCGGACGAGTCCATGTTTGTCTGGGAAGGTATTTATAACCCTTCCAACAGTCCATCGACCGCGAGGAATCGATTCATCAACTAGCAGAACCATATCGTCGACTTTGAAGTTATCACGTCCTTTCGTCCATTTCGACCTTTGTGTTATTGTTGGCAGGTACTCTTTTATCCATCGACGCCAGAATTCATCAGCCAGATATTGTACCTGGCGCCATCGCTGTCGAACGTAGCAATCACGCTTCGTGAATACACCTGGTGATACATTTGGTGACGAACCAACAAGTAGTAGATGGTTGGGCGTCAACGGTTCATCAGCTGAGTGGTCCATTATCACTGGAGTTATCGGTCTGGAATTCAGTATCGATTCCACTTCAACTAGTAGTGTCTCCAACTTCTCATGAGTAATCGATTGACCTGTCAACAATACAGATAGAATTCGTTTAGTTGATTTAATCATTCTTTCAAAAACGCCACCCATATGACTGGCGTATGGAGGATTAAAGTTAAATTCTACGTCACGTTGACGCAGATAGTTTGCAATACTTTGCTCGTTCCATTTGCTAATTGATTCTTTCAATTCGCGACAAGCACCTACAAAATTGCTTCCATTGTCGCAATATATGTGAACAGGACGACCTCTGCGCCCAGTAAAGCGTCTCAATGCGTCAATAAAGTCGTCAGTTGATAAACTACTAGCTAGTTCGATATGCACGGCCCGAATCGATAGACAAGTGAAGAGACAACCATACACTTTAACTTGACTCCGTCCTTGCTTAACAGTCATTGGGCCAAAGAAGTCAACTCCAACATACGAAAATGCACGGACGTTATCATATAACCGAGCAGCGGGTAGGTCAGACATTATCTGCTCGCCAACATGGGCGTTCCGCTTTCGACAAAATATGCATTTTCCTATGACTTTACGAACTGCAGCGCCACCCTTCAATACCCAATATGTTTGTCTCAACGTCGTCCAAGTGTGACTCATTCCAGAATGTCCAACTTCAATATGACACTTGATTATCAGCAACGAAGTTAAATGATGTTCATTCGGTAGAATGGCAGGATGTTTCGATTCGTACGGTATTGACGCATTGTCTAAACGACCTCCCACACGCATTACGCCGTAGCTGTCCATAACGGGAGAAAGTTTACGAAGTGCGCGGGAGCAGTTAGACTTGTTCCAAATCACAATCCCGCAACCCAGCATCTCCATAACCTTCGGAAACATCTGCCACTGCACGTATTTCACAAGTTGCGTCTCCGAAAACCTGAGCTCACTTAACGTCAAAGGGCCAACATTGGGGTTGTTTGCCGTCTTAGATACCCGCATGAGCAGAAACAACTTGTATCGCATAAGCCAAGCTGTGGCTCTGCGCAAGCGAGTCCAACTAGAGTATCTTTGAATTAAACGATCGGTAGCCGAAACAGTTTCAGAATTTTCGTTCAAGCAGTCAGTTAAGTTAATTTGCACGGGAATATGCTCGGAAGGTTGAAATTCCAGTGGCGGATCCGGCATACTAACAGGGTCAATAGGCCATCCAACCATAAAAAATCCGGACCACGCAGCCAGCGATCCCGATTAAGAAATCTATCTACAGAAACTCCTCTCGAACCATCATCGGCTGGATTTAATTTAGTTGGAACGTAGCGCCAATTTGAAATATCACAATTCTGCTCGATCGTAGTTAGTCGGTTAGCAACAAACGTTGTAAACCGTTTCGAAGAGTTACGAATACTCTGTAGTATGGCAGTTGAATCCGCCCAAAAGACGCACTGTCTTAGTGAAAGGTCTAGCTCTTTTCTGATTATTGCTCCCAATCTCACGGCTAAAACCGCCGCAGTTAACTCCAAACGAGGCACTGATACGGGTTTAATTGGAGCTAGTCTAGATTTACCCATCAGGAAAGCGCAATGAACTCTAGAATGTTCGTCAATCAGACGCAGATATGCAACGGCGCTGTATCCGTTATTCGATGCGTCTGCAAAAATATGTACGTCACTTCGACTGACGCGTCCAAAGTCAAGCGGTTCAAGACAGCGACAAATTTTCAGGTTTTCCAATAGATGAATTTGGTTCAACCAATTGGCCCAGCTATTTGCATCACGTTCACATACAGGGTCGTCCCAGCCGATCTTCTTACGGCATAGATCCTGTAGCACAACTTAGCAGTCAACGTGACAGGAGCCCAAAATCCAAGGGGATCAAATAACGAGCTTAACGCGGACAAAATACCTCGCCGAGTAAACTCTCGATCGGGAATATCAATCTTGCACCCGAATTCATCGCTCAATGCGTTCCAATACACGCCTAGAATGCGATTAGACACACCGTCGTCCAAGACACGACTTCGCAGTTGCTTACAACGCTCGCTTTCCGGCAAACTATTCAAGACAACCTTACTATTGGACATCCATTTCGTAAGTTTAAACCCTCCTTTACTCAACAAAGAACGTAGCTGCATCACCGTCGAAACAGCATCGTTATCATTTTTGCAACTGGACAAACAGTCATCAACATAGAAGTCTCGTTTAACAATTTCTAAAATCTTGGAATCGTATTCCGCGCCGAAGTCTTTCGCTGTTTGCAACAGACAAAATGCAGCACAACTAGGTGATGACGAAGCACCAAACAAATGCACAGTCATTTCATGTTCGACTGGCTGTGTAGATAAATCTCCATCGACCCACCACAAAAATCTTAGAAAGGCCCGATCCTCCGGTTTCACTCTAATCTGATGGAACATTGATTCAATATCAGCGATAATCGCGATGTTTTTCCTTCGAAATCGGGTTAGTACACCAACCAAACTATTAACAAGGTCTGGGCCACTCATAAGCGCATCATTCAACGACAAACCCTCGGACTTGGACGCGCAATCAAAGACGATTCTAAGTTTGTCTGGTTTCTTTGGGTTTATCACAGGATGATGTGGCAATAACCATTTTGTTGGATAGATGTTCGGCGACCTAGGACTGTCAGCTATACGAGCGTATCCTTTATCAACATAATCATTCATTGTCTGAATATATTTTTGGCGCAATGTGTCATCTTTTAAAAGACGTCGCTTTAACTGACGAAGGCGATTCTCCGCCACTTTCTGATTACATGGTAACTCGCGATGATCGATTTTCCACAATAAAGGTAGTTCGTAATGTCCATCAACAAATTTGAGTTTGTCTTCCATGCAACTACGCGCTATTCTATCTTCGCGGGAAGTTTTAGTGTCACAAATACTGGGGACGTCAGCAAAATCCGTACGCCAAAGTCGCTCAATCTGCGACGCCAAAGGATTTGTATCAACAAAATTAATGGAAGTGTTTTCATAGACGGTCAGAGACGGACCCATAAGAGACCAACCCAGAGGGGTTTTCACCGCAATCGGCTGTTGACTCCGACCCTTTCTAAATTCCTCCCACACAAACACTTCGGGAACATCCGCTCCTATCAGCAAAGTCACTTCACCGTCGTGTATTCGAGGAAAGTCGATATCAGACAAATAGGATAGCTTACGCAAGGAACTGCGCGAGGGTAGCTTATTGGGCTTTATGGGCAAGTTACTGACGCACAATACATTGGGCAATTCAATGCAATCGTCATGTCCGTCAATTTCTTTAACGAGTAGAGGGGACAACTTCTTTGCTTTAACAGATTTGGGACGATTACCAACAGTTTGCAATGTAACATCTATAGGCACCCCGGTTAGATTTAATTTGTTCATCAATTTCACACTACACATGGTGGTTGTAGAAGCACAGTCCAAAAGAGCGTATGTATCAAAAGCCCTGTTGCCAGCAGTTACTGTCACCGGGACGATATTCATGTAAACACCGGTGTTCCCTTGTTGCTTTGCGGGCGCCAATTTATTAGCGTGAACGTCGTGATCCGCATGGTTCATCGAGGTACCGACGGAACAAGTCTGTTTACTAATACCATCTCGCCGTGTAGGTGTCTCGAAATCGCGATGCAACAAAACATGATGGAACGGATACTTACAATCGTGAATGGGGCAACTTTCATATGCCCTCGTCTTAAGCATTTGAAGCACAACTGATTCCGTCTAGCCACGTTATATCGTTCGTACCATGAAAGGACTTTAAATTTCTTACAGTTGAATAATTCGTGAGAAAATTACAACACGGGCAGTGCCAATTTGAACCACTAGCAGAAATAGCAAAAGCACTACCTTTCGCCTTAGAATTTTCATAATAATTTGATTGCCTTCTATCTCTCGGGCAAAACGAAAGTCTGATCTTGAAACATTAGCTTGCTCGGTGACAAATTTAGAGAGGTCGTTGTAACTAGCTTCACGATCCTCCGTTTCTAAAATTGTTGCCACTTTGAAATCCCAAGCGTTTTGCGACTCTGGTGGCAATCGTTTAACAATGGCCAGCAAATTGTCAAAATTATTAAGATTGTCGTACTCACTGATTTCTCCAAGAACTAAGCCACATTTCCGCATCAGTCGCGCATACGCTTGCATACCTTTCGCGTCGTCAAAGTTCAACTTCGGACCACGCTTCAACCTGTCCAAACAGGTGCGGGAAATGACATGATCTTTACCATATTCATTCTTCAGCTCTCTCATAGCTTCGCGATATCCGCGACTCGGTTCCATCATTGAGCAATGATCAATGGCATTTTTCGCTTCGCCCTGGCACAGCTGTAACAAATAACTCAGACGTACGTTATCATCATCTACAAGATCTGTAACATGGGCCTTAAAGTTGCGGATAAAGGAATAATATTCCATTGGATCACCTGAAAATTTTGCAATTTCTGGTTTGGGTAGATCGACAGTTCTGCGATGTAAAGCATGGTTCAAACGTGGAGGCACAGGATTAGCTGAGCTACTATCAGCTGTGTGTGTAGGCAAAGTCGGCAAACGCCGTGGAGTATTTTCACGACCGTTATCAATGAGCTGTGATTTAGGTGGGAAATCACGGGATTTCACGCTATTGTCGTGCCTAATTCTATCTACTGTTACCCACCGCAAAAATTCGTCATCGCTCATTTCCCAAACCTTTGATTCTGTTTCAGCAGCCTGTAAAGCGTGTCTTGTCCGAAGCTTACGCAAGTCGTCTTCTAAAGCTGAGAGTTCTTCTTCTTGACGGGCCTTTAGGCGTGCCAGCTCCAACTTCACTCTTGCATTCCGGACGGAGAAAGTCGATGACGCTGAAGAACTCACGTCGCTAACGTCACTGGAACTCCTGCAAACATCTAGATGAGTTTTAAATTCATTAAAACTGCCAGGAGCATTGCTAATCATTGCCTGATGTTGGTCATCCGACCTACCACCGGTTGCCATTATTGAGAACCCGAATTAATGTTTGAAACCCTTTGGTTGAAAACTTGAGAATTTTGGTATTAACGTTAATATCATTGAAAACTTCACAAATTATGTTTGGAGACTTGAAATCGTTTGAATTTTGAAGCACGTTTGAAAACTTTTATGTCACGTCTTTTGATAGCCCGGAATCTATATCGACGAGACACAATGAAAACGTATCGAACGCGCCACTCTCAGCCCCTTTGTCCACAAACAAGACACGTGCATAAATCACTTCTTTATATTCTTGGCAAAGAACAGCGGTTTTCTTAAATAAAATAAAACAAAATTGATTAACATAAGTCAAAGAATACAAACAACAAAAGGCAAATTTCTCACCAAACGTTTTCCGATCCGGGAGGCTAATACAATTACAATATATAACAAATAAATAAACAGTCCACAATACAGACAAACATCTGCGACTCTTTACACGACGAATACGTGATGCAAATGACCGAAAGGAAAACGCTAAACCAGACAATAGATAATAATACTAATTTACGCTACAAACAAAGGGTAATAATGAGTCTACAATGATTGGATGCAAGGCAGAGCACGATGCACTGCATACAGTGGCAAAATATACGACAAACGTACGTTTACAACGTAACAATACATGAGATAAAACTTTAACGAAAGCTTTGTGCACTGTTACGCAACATGAGAAAGAAATCATACACAATCCTCTCCCGCACTTCGCACAAGTTTTTTTTTATTATAAGTCGTTGCCTGGTCGCATGCAGCCACTATATACATACACGAATCTTAGAAATAAGCGTAATATGGCCTATACCGTTTGTTAGATAAATGTGATAGCTTACCGGGCAAAGGTCTCAAAATATTTGTAGCATTTTGTTCACTTTCACTTACGTCTTCGGCTCCTGTTAATCGTTTCATTGCCCACGCCATGCACCTTGCTTCAGCGTCAGCATTGAGTAGTCCACTCTGGGCTTGAGCAATCGATTTCACCACAACGATTAACAAGAAGATTCATTTTAAAGGTATATATCTATATAATGTGAATTGAAAAAATTCAAAAAATATCAGATCAAAATATAAATCAAACATGTCACAGAATCAAACACTGAACAATTAAAGCCTATACTCATTATATCCCCTAGACTCTCTCTTTTACAATAACGAGCGTCTCTGGATTTGCCAGACATCCTCTAAGTCTAGATACTTGAACGTTTCTAATATATTAGTGTGAATATTTTGTTCCCATATTTAATTTGAGTTTTTTCTTTCTTTTTTTCATGCTGTATTAGACCCTATATAGGGTGACTACTTTGTTTTTATATTCATATTAAATTTAAGCTTTCTATTTTTATTTTTTCCATGCTGTGTTAGACCCCATCTAGGGTGTCGTCGCTCGAAAACTAGTAGGCCTACTCGTTTGTGAATGCTATTCTCGTTTTATTCTACACTGCATAGATGCGTTGCGCATTGTCAGCATTTGTGGGAAAATAAATTACTGAAGCTTTCACATATATACAAACGGTTAAATGAAACTGAATTGATTTTTGTATTGCATATGAAAATACGTGGGTAAGCTTTAAAAACAGGAAACAATTCAAATTTGCAAATGCAAAGTTTTGAAGCTATTGTGAGAGAAAATCGCTTCAATTGAAAATATGAATGTTTTCAAAGTTCGACGAGGCCAAGTTTAAAATTAACACAATACATGACTTAAATGATGAATTCACGAGTATATATCCACAACGTGTAATAATTTGGAAGCAATTGGAAAGTTTGCATAAAATCATTGCTGAAGAACAAATGGTTGCTGCTATCAATGAGAAAAAATGCAAAATATGGCGTTACATTGTTTTTTAAAAAAGGATTAACGGCTTGCACGTTCAGGCATTGGAATTGCGTTTGAAATATTTATTTCTCATCCAAAAGGTACAACACAAACATAATCAACATGAGAATACAATAGAATCAACCTTGATAAAGCTCAATAGCTTTCCTATTATTCTAAATGAATGTTTGGAATCATATCATTGGGTATAAGGCTTTATGACATAATTTTAATACATCACGAAAAATGAATAAATCACCAATAAATACTCAACAAGTTATGCACCCAAACAGACAGATATTGTATACATCGGTTAAACAAATTTGCAACATATTCTGGGTTTGCCTCAGCGGTTCCTACTTCATTAAAGTCGACAGCCATTTCAGATTAAATATTGAATAAGTCAAGTTACATTAAGTCATTAACACAATGCTGAATTTTGCTAGTGGGAAAAATACTTATAGATCTCATCGGATGAAATCACATACGCAGCACGAGGCAATTTTTATAATCAAAATTTATTTCATTCTCTAGTTATATTCAAATAATCTCAATCAACAATATATTTTTCCTCCAATGCTATTGAAATATTTATATTATTTGTCGCAGTAAATGAGTAAGACATGATATATTTTTGAAATACTGTAACTCAAAGACTGCCAAAAAGAAAATACAAGTTGTACTTGGAGTTTTATCAAATATGTTTCATATACATCCGGGCAAGTATCGCACAGATCTATTGATATAACAAAGCTTTTTTTACTGTTTTTGACTTATTATGTACTTTTAGTCATCTTTTATATTATAATTATTAGAAATAAAAAAGCGTAGCTCATGTTTTGTATCACGAAACAAAAAATACTGAAGTGATATCCGGACTCCATCCAACGCACAGTTCACCACGCTGATAAGTGCTAGCGTTCGCTCTTTTTCGACCCATGTCTGACTGACTTGGTCTGTTTTCTTTTCGAGGTAAAAAGTTAAAACTTTCTCGTTAAATTGTTTCGTTGTTAGGGCGATTTCTTTTTAGATCAGGGGGTGGCATTTTGGTGTTTGGGTTTTTCGATCAATAAAGTCTGCTGGAACATGCTTTATTACTTTACGGGATATTACTTATTCAAGACCTAAAGACGGGCTGTTTAAGAGCAGAAAGGTTTAATGTATTGTATGTGACCCACAGAATCCTGGAATCGGTTGCAGTATTGTCATTTGTGCCGGGGTTTGGGATTTCTATCTTAATGGATTGAAAGCTAAATGACTTTATTGAACATCTGTGTTTTTAAATTAAAGATTCCTGGATTTGGGTATCATCGTATCAGTAGGTTACCTACTAAATATCGAATAGCCCTTTTTGTCGGTGACTACTGTACTAAGGACTGTTCAGGAGGGGTCCTAACGAATACAGAAAATATGTTTATTCATGTAATCTGAATACCATACATTTTCAGATTTAAGTTTTCTCAGACATCAGGACATACTTCTCAGATTTGAATGGTGCTGGTTTATTCTGTTATCATATAATATTTTCATTTTGTTGCAGGCCTAAGCTGATCAAAGATGGGTATATCGAGGGATTCATGGCATAAGAGGCGGAAGACTGGGGTAAACGACCCCAGCCCCACAAAAAGAGGAAGTTCGAATTGGGTCGCCGGCGCTCAAACTAAAATTGGAGGAAAACGAGTTCATATGGTTCGTACAAGGGTGGTAACAAGAAATTCCGTGCACTTCGTCTTGACAGTGGCAATTTCTCTTGGGGTTCTGAAGCATGTACGAGAAAAACCCGTATCATCGATGTCGTCTATAATGCCAGTAACAACGAACTTGTACGTACGAAGACTCTGGTGAAGAATTGCATCGTTCTTGTCGACAGTACTCCATTCCGACAGTGGTACGAGTCTCATTACATGACTCCACTGATGCGCAAAAAGGGAGCGAAACCATCCGAGGCTGAAGAAGAAGTGTTGAACAAGAAGCTCTCAAACAAAACCCAGAAAAAATACGACGAGAGAAAAAAAGTCGCTAAAATCGCCAGCAATCTCGAAGACCAGTTTGCTCAAGGACGAATCTATGCTTGTGTGGCTTCAAGACCAGGGCAATCTGGCCGTTGTGACGGATACATCTTAGAAGGCAAAGAGTTGGAATTCTACCAAAAGAAAATGAGGGCAAGGAAAGGAAAGTAGTTGTTATATTATTATAACGCTCTACGTTAATAAATCACAATTATGTGGAATATGAGTGGTTTCAAGAAAATGATAGCAATGTTCAGCTGTTAGGAGATCATGGGTTCTCCCGTAGTGTTTGTATCAGGTTAGGCCATAATTTTATTCAGATTCTCCATTTTTAGTTCTATTGCGAGTTCGGGACTGTCTGTGTCAGCCAAGTGAATATACCCTGCCTGGACTGTCTGTGTCAGCCAAGTGAATACTCCCTGCCCATAGGTTTCAGTCCCTATATAAAGCTTGATGTAGAGTAGGCGAACAAAATTAGTTGCCTCCATATTGGTACACACAATTCTGGAGCACCGATAACGGTATAGTCAGATAAGTGAGGTACTAACATCTTTCATGGGATTTGTTAAACCTGACATTCTCATGATTTGCTAGGGGTGGGAAAAATTGATAAATGTGTAGGGCTAATTAATGCTCAAAGCAATGAAATTCCATGATTTTGTTGATGATGGGATACTCCCGTAGTATGTGCACCAGGTTAGGCCACAATTTTATTCTGATTCTCCATTTTTTAGTTCTATTGCGAGTTCGGGACTGTCTGTGTTAGCCAAGTGAATATACCCCTGCCCATCCCTTTACACAACTTGATGTAAATTAGGCAAACAAAATTAGTTACCTCCATGTTGGTACAAACTTCTGGAGCGCTGATGATGGTTGTTAAGAAGGGGGCAATACCACGGATGAAATTTGACTGCTCAATGCTTACGGCTATGAAATATAGGATTTTAATATACTGAAGGGAGAATATATTTAATGATTAAGAGCGCATTTTCAGCTACAACTCAAGCCTAGTGATTCATCCACAGCTCAGTAAACAGTAATTATCATTCCCACAGCCCTGGCTTTATTTATAATTATACATACCTATCAAGTAGGCCATATATATGCTCAACCTTTCCAGGACATTGAATGAACGACTTACTTTCTTCATATTTATCTAAAGAGAGGAAAGGGTAAGAATGCTTAATATAATCTTGAGAAACACATACTTTGGCCCAGTTTCCAAACAATATCAGATATTGGGAAAGTTTTTGTTTCAGATGCATGCACTTGTTGGAGGAGGAAGCCGTTATGTGAACCACCCTACGATTACACGGCATATAGCAATCCTCTCGCACATATATTTTCCTCACAAGATGCAAACCTGCAGAGATCATCACACATGTACACTAAGAAAGATGTAAGAGGGCATCCACTTTTCTATGCCATATACATATTTTGTCAGAAAGGGCATTATAGGTATTCGGTATATACTATAAAACCTGTATTGATCTCGAAATGAGGATCGCTCCGTGCTAGTGCGGAATTTAGTTACACATACAGTATATATTATATTCACTTGTATATAAAGACAATCCACTTACATAAAAAATTATCACAGTGAGTAATTACATAGCAACAATAAATCCCACATGCAAAATACTTGATAATAATTATTATTACTGGCTCTTATGTGTATTTTAAGCGCAATCTTTTTTATAATCACTTCACAGAAAATGATTTCTCACTAGTCTTGCATGTAGGGTCACCCTGGTTGGTAGTCCAAACAGGACAAATACGTGATTAATTATGAACCCCAAAGCAATGTACCTAAGCTAAAAGTGGTAAAAATAAAAGAGTTGCAAGCAACACTATTATCAGAAAAAGGTATAAAATTAACCCTAGGCTAGTCGAGTAAAGCAGCCTTAGTGTTTCTGTGAAGCTTTTTTTGCCTTTTATGTTGCGGAGGGGAAAATAGAACAGAGTAACAAATTCTTTTTACTGCATGACAAAAACATAAGTGCATCAAAAGTGGGAAATTCTCAGGTCACTACTTATTATATATTGAACTATGTGGACCAATGGTAATCTGTACATAAAATTTGAATATTGAAGCATTTTATGTGAAAGCATGGACATTGGGGAATCCGAGCTCTTTAATTATGGAAAGACCAGAGTTGGTAAAAAGAGTCGGCCCACATATGTAGAACAAAATATCATTTTTGTCAAAATTTTCAATTTTTGACAAATATTCTTCTAACATTTCTTTGGAAATTCTTCCTCTTCTGCCGTTCCAAGATTCATCGGCTTGTGATAATATATTGTGAGTGAAAAATCTTCCATGATAGTTTTCTGAAAATGCATCGAGATCATCTCTCCAAATAATATCCTCAATTCTTTTGTTGAAAAAAAGTAAATGAACATGTGAATCATCTCGATCTTGCAACATTGAATATAAAACTCTAATCATAGGCGTGATTCCAGTACCTGCTGCCAACAGAATATAGGTGCTATATTTTGAAATAGTCTCTGCATCAAAGTCTCCATCATATACACTTACAGATATTTTATTATTCGGTGATAATTTGCCCAACGCTGAAGTCAGCGCGCCACTTTCATAGTGTTTAATAGCCAGATAAAATCACATCCGGTTTCAAGTGATTTTTCTGCATTTTCATTCAAAATTGACTTCAGAACTGGAGTATAAGGTTTTTGTACTTCAATGTTATCAATACTAGTTTTGAGGTAGACATGGTATCCCTTGGGCACATACATTCGTCGAGAACAGGGCATTTTTATATGATACAAGTCAGTATCGTGAGTCAATGTAACTTTACTTGCAATAGAACATTCACATGTTCTCAGTTTAGAAACGTCTCTGCCGCTGAAGTTTTCTTTAGTTCGTCGTACATCACCAAGCGTGCTCCAGTGTATTTTTGGGTCCATTTTTGTAAAGACAACTTGTACATTTCCAATGGAAGTAACTGCAATGTGAATACTGCATAAAACTGGTTGATTTAAAGCAATGTGAAATGTGTGCAGTATTTTGCCTACGTGTAAATCTAGTACAGCTGAATTCTTATTCAAAAGATCACATATAACATGATCTTTGGAAAAGTTGGGTATTTTTGTATACAAAACGATTACAATAGTTTTTGTTGTTTGATACCAATCCAAAGTTGGTTCAACTGAAGATTTTTCATTTGGCAGTGAAATAGACACATCAGAATTTGAGGTATAATCTTCAAGATTTATTTCAGGTACACCTGCCGCAGTACCTCCAACAGAGTCAATTTTTAAAGTGTTCACGCCAAGAGGATTTAGGCTTGTTAAAGATGCCGGAGGCGCCAGTATACTATGATTTAGATGTTTTGGATTTGTGTCTATTAACTTTCCTATTAAGCATTCCTTCAACATTGATTCATAGTTAACCCAACGATGGACTTCTTCAAAAAGAGACGTGGCATCTCTCCCTGCACCACGCATCAGTTCATCTGCACCACCCGGATGATATTCCAGATAGGCAGTAACGTTGTATACCATTCCACGCAATGCCATCCACATATCATTAGGCTTGTTATGTTTGGCTAGTTCTTCTGTCGTTATACGTAGTAATCGAGGTCCTGTCTTTTTCAAGTCCTCTCCAGATTTTGTCCGTTGTATCCAGTCAACGAGAGACCTTCCTGGTTTCAGTGGAACCTTTTTGCTGGGTTTAGAAGGATTATTTACGGATAACCTTTGCTGACTATTCAGTGACGGGAACATGACAATAATTTTTCTATGTAAGCACTGCAGAGAATAGTATATCACAGTATTACAATACTTTGAAAGGCAAAAGTAATTTGTAAGTGAAAGAGTTCAATACACTGACATACTTTATATGCATCAGTCCATCAAATAAAATGATCGTTCGATTTAATGTTGCATATGACAATAGATAAAAAATTTAATCGCTGCAATTGTACGGAAGTACAGCTGAATGATATGGTGAATAATTTTTATAATTACTGTGTATCAATTGAATTTCCCAGACTTTTATTTTTACATTCTCTTCCAAATCATATATGATGATTCATATCAATCTTGTTGGTTAATTATCGAATGAATAAGTTTCTCTTTGTGCTTATTGCTTTCATTTATTTCAATTTTTATTAACTCGTTTTTAATCTTGGTGTCGCAGACTTATGATGACCATCTCTGGTCCTTCGCGACTTCCAGTTAATTGCAATGAAATCCGCTACTGTAACGCATAATTACTTTTTCCTATTTTAAATTTGTGTTGTGATTTCTTGCACGACGAAATAAACCTATTGTCTATTGTCATAGACAGATAGAGATACAATAGTAGGCTTGATACAAACCCAATCCTACCTATGACCTACAGTGTATGTACATGCCATGCGTAGGAGGGTTCCATTACATTTGAACCCACGTACATTTGAACCCATGACAATTGCACCTGTATGCTATTGCACCTATGGAATTTTTTTTGTTTCACGGATAGTTAAACCCATACTAACCCTAACCCATGGGTTTTAGCACCCGCATATAGATTGAACCCGTGGATATACGCATGGGTTCAAATGTACGTGGGTTCAAATGTACGGTCACCGCGTAGGAGCACTAGATCAGCAGTTCATGGTCATCTGACTACAAGACTATACGGTACAGCTTTCAACATTAACTGTCTTTTCTATTCTTTCAATAAATAATTCCGTACCGGTACTGAATACCGTATATTACTCCCAACCACTGCACCATCAGATAATGTCTGAATTCCCTCATGCCCATCGTCATATTACTACCTAATTAATTTTCGATTTCATCTCGGCATCAACCGAATACTTACAGCTTGTGCTAAGTACGGTAATACAGTGCCGTGAGCAGATACAGAGATAAGTGCCTAGTACTACGGGCTAATCAATCATTTAAATGTTAGTCTACAGTATGCGATATGAAAAATAACATATTGCATTTGATAGTAATCGCATTAAAATGCGACTCATAAATGTGACGCACTGCAACACATATTAAAACGCGTTTCCGCGTACCATACAACACGACTGTCAGTGCCATCTGGGAAATTCATCAATACAATTCATTTATACCTTCAGATCCTGGATGCCCCTGTCAAAACGAACACAAATAAATGAATACATATAAATAGAATAGGCACAGTGAATATAAATACCGAGATGCGAGGGAAATGTTAAGTTACCGTAAATGTAATGAATGTCGAATGAAGCAATGATGCAGCGCAAAGGATTTGCGCGCATCGCACATTGGAGCAGCAAACAAAAATGTTTCGTCAATTTTAGGGGAGAACAAACAGTTTTTTCCCATTATTTCGAATGCTATTGAAAAACATGTCAATAGGCAATAAAAGCAGCCATATGGGTTGACCGGACCCTCTTCAGTCTACGTTCGCACAAGATGACTGCAAAATTGGTTGATTTGTAATAAAGTTCACCCATTGAAGCTAACGAAGTTGATAGATCTTATTTCGATTCAGTCGCAAAAACAAAATATATGTACACAAGTTTAAAACATATTGAACGCGTCCACCCACCGAAAAAGAAAGAGTCACAAACCTAAACAAATAAACATAAATATTGACAATGCTGAGGCGTCTCATTCTGCAATCAGGTTGCATGCAATTTATTCAAAAACAGTGAATAGCGTGTGATGTGTGGGGGCATGTAAACAAACAATCGATAAAAATTTCCCATTTTCGCATCCCAGTTGTACATTTCTGGGCCCACAGTTGAAAATTTGTAATGGCTCTGTTTTTTCAATGCATGGACTTGGTAGTGGAGGAAGACGTGCTGTTACAATAGCCACCCTATGGCTGCGAGGAGTCCAGTAACCCTATCGCACATAAATTTCTCCACGGGATTCAAACCTGCGAACCCACGCAGGGTAATCAGATGTGCAATGGCGAGCGTATTCCAAGCGCCACATCGCTATATATATTGCAATGTATATAATGTCTCTTAGCGTCTTTGAAAAACACGCTTGGCACAAGAAAGTACTTTGAATTATTTTGAATAAAACCGTTTTAGCGCATAAATTAAATTTCAGTTTCTCCTTGCATCTCTGCAGCATTGGTAGTCGATATGATACTTCTTTACCCATAAGCAGCTGAATTTGCTGTGATCTCACACATACAAGTAATTGAATGCACCTGTTGTTGTAGCGAAATTATGAGATCCTGACTATTTTATGAAATGAATAAACAATTGTTCACTACTACCATTAAATTGCAATGAAATCCGGTATCCTAATGTATAATATTTTGTTTCTGGAATACAGTTATTGCCTATTGTGAACGAAGCAACAAAACATTATTTCTTATCTTCTCTTGCCACTCGCAAACCGCGACAGATCGTTAACGAGTTACGCCATCATCTTGAGATACAATGGTTTACTGCTATAAACACTTATTTAGTAATAAAAATTGTAAATTTCCAAGCAGGAGTGTTGAAAATAAAGCCAGAACTAAACAAAAACGATGCTAAGATCAATGTTGACTCTGGTCACGTGACTAGTTTTAAATCAACGGCATCTGACGTCACAAATCGTAGTACTGTTCTTTTAATCCTCATACCAAAGCCTTGAACACAGAAAAAATAGAAAGGGTTTGGCTTTCGCGTATATTGGATTGCAGGCTACTCAGTCCAAGTGGACATATGATTGTAGGAGGGACACTTAGCTGAAAAATGTCAATGGTGAGTCTCACAGTATTACAGTAATAATCAGATTAATTGTGAATTGCAGATAAAATATATTTAAGTGGATTTTTATTTTTGCTATGGGTCACAGTACTGAAGCAGTCGTTTTCTAAGCTCCAACTGGTCATTTTAATTGGACTAAGTACAGAATTTCGCATTTTTGTTTTAAATATCTGACCTTAAAATGAAACATTTATTCCTGCATTCTGTCATTAGATTTCATTTGGTGCAATATTGCTGTATTGGAAAAAATTTGTTTATCTATTTCAGCATGGAAATCAAGAAAATCTATCCCCTCAAGTAGTGAGACAAGTTTATAAAGAGTTGAAATCTTTAGCAACAGAACCAATTGAAGGAATTCAAGTCACTGCGAATGAAGAGGATGTGTCAGAAATTCAAGCAATTTTGGATGGCCCACGTATGAGTTTTATTATTGATAAAAAAAGTTTTTGCCAAACTGAAGTATTGTGGAACGGATTTGCTTCACATGCTTTCTCCATCAAATACACGCATTTAAAACAAATGACTGGCTAACTAATTCCATACTCGACATGGACGAGTAACCGGACGAGAGGCCATGGTTCGCTATGTGATTAAGCCCTCTTATCGGCTTTCCCCTAGGACAGGGGTTCTCAACCTTCTTTTGTTAAGTACCCCTCGAGTCATGAAACAATCATCGCGAACCCCATGGTAATCAGACACCATTCACCAATCAAAGTTATTATTTATTGACTAACAATTTGCTGCAAAAACAATTTATTGACAAACTGCAGTAGCTAGATTAAATCTTCGTGTTGATGTCATTACCCTTGTCCTTTGCCTAACTATTAAATTCTTAAAATCTCTCTCAAGTTTCAATAAGCATTATCACTTTCTGCAATGCCTGCAGAACACTGTCTTTTGAGATTTCGCAGTTTGGCTGCAAAGCCGTGGATTTTACATTGTTGCGTCTCAATCGCAACAACGCAAGATCAGGGAAAATCTATGCTGAGTTTCGATCGGCACGCATTTTCCTCCGGTAGTAAAGGTCATTGAAAAACGGCATCACACGAAAACTCGAATGCCATCCAAGTACCCCTGAAAATCTTCTCATGAACCCCTGGGGGTTCGCGAACGCCAGATTGAGAACCCCTGCCCTAGGATAAATATGTAAATCCTATCCCAGTGTTTCAAGTCTTACGTTCACTGAATATTTTAGGATTCTGTCACTGGTCACTTACAACTCATAATGCCCACTCTTTTAGACCTATCACATTGCTTTGCACGATATTGCAAAAAATTATAAAGGATATCAAAGTAGATTTATCATTGAATAAATGTGGCTTCCTTGGATACAATATGTATTATTGACTGTATGATTTTACAATGAGGACCTTGCTTCGAGCAAGACATTTATAAAAGTATATAGTTAAAAAATATTTTTTTAGCTATCTTGACGAACAATGAAAAAAACTCTCTCATGACCTTATAATGTATTCATAGAAAAAAACTTTTTCCAGTCCAGTTTCGCTTAAAAAAGTCTCTTTGTAAGCATCCATACAGGCTGGAAGCTATTATTAAACTCTGTACCATCCTATACATGATTTAATTAAGATCATAGGACCGTAGGTTGACATTACATGACAATATTTTTTGTCCATTTAGAGGGCACACCGTATGCTGGGGGTATTTTTAAAATGAAACTCTGCCTAACTAAAGAATTTCCTGCGAGTCCACCCAAGGGATTTTTCACCACTAAAATATTCCACCCAAATGTGAGCAGTTCTGGGGAAATTTGTGTCAATGTTTTGAAAAAGGATTGGCATTCGAAAATGGGAATAAGGAATGTACTCCTGGTATGTACATTTTATATTATTGTTTTTGTGTATGTCAAATTTGGAAATAAATGATGAATTTTTAGTCAGTGCCAGCTTCGTCACGTAGTGTCGTGTTAGGCACCCAACATTCAGATGTAATCACATGATGTGATCCCCGAGCAAACTGGCCAAAAACCAACGATTTTTAATGATTTGAAAGTTAAATTAAACATTTGAACTCTGGTATGAGGCAACTTATTCATTTACTTTTAAATGCTACCGCCATAATAATATTCTGTTATCAATCTTTTTTTTTTGACAAAAGCAAGTATGATTTATTGTGTAGCATGAATGTGTGACATTTAATTAAAAATTTACAGTCACTGAAATAAGTTATGAAAATTGAATAACATCTAGATTCGTTGCAGCTTACAGCAATAGTTTGGTTTTATAACAATGCCAAAATGAATCCAAATCAAGATTCTTCTTGAAAATCAGCAATATTCTTTATACCCAATTTGAAGTTCAGATCATCATGACAAATCAGTATTCGTCACTGTTGCATGGTTGATGATTATCTTTTTTTTAATTTTATTTATTTCGGATTTTGAATATGAATTTAGTGTATTCCAATCATAAATGCCTGCTATGCTCTCATAATCAAATGGCTGTGACTTTAGGTGTGTCAAGTGAATCCAACGATTGTCAAAACTCATTGCTCTCTGCTTTGTATATAAAATTACCATGATTTTTTTGTCGAGCGTTGAATTTCCATTTAGTTTTTCGATTATACTTGTTCCTTCATGTTTTAGACTGTCAAATGTCTTCTTATTCATCCAAATCCTGAATCTGCGTTAAACGAAGAAGCAGGAAGACTCTTATTAGAACATTACAAAGATTACGCCTCTCGGGCCAAACTTATGACTGAAATTCATGCTATGCCAAATGGAAAGTTGGCAAGTACAAGACCAGCAGATGATAGACCTTGTTCTAGTGATCATAGTTCCACTGGAGAAAGTGGTCCAGCAAACAAAAAACAAGCAACAGAAAAAATTATTTCAGAAAAAAAGCGAAAAGAGAAAAAACGTGGTTTAAAACGATTGTGATAGAATTACACTTTATAACAATGAATTAAAAAAAATTACCTGTCAAGAATGAGCGAAATTGTGCCATTCAAGGAGTCAAATTTTACTTAGGATCATAAATCATGGGGTCAAAAGTGACAAATGACATCAAACAAATTTTGCCTGGGCGGAGATTATGTCATTGGGTGGTAAATAAAAGTGTCTGATCAATTTTATGATGTATTTAAACCTGTTTTATTTTCTGATCTAAGATTTTTCGTCCAATTAACATGATATTTGTTCTATAATTTGCGGTTGACGGGAAAGATACAAATATTATTCACATTTCGCTACTGTTATATATATATACAAGTTTGGTGCTCAATCAAACTTGTACAAAACTAATATTTGTTGGAGAGTCATAAGGTCACAGGTTCTAGAACCAAATGCATTGTAAAAGATTAGCATTGAAACATCATTTAGGAATTGAGCAAAGCTATTTATTCAATTTGAATTCTGGGTAAACAGACTCTTAAAAAAACATTTAGTCGTCTAGTTGACAAACCTGCTAATGTTTATAAGAATTTAAATCCTAGTTTATATTTACTGCACAGAAAATTGCCGGCAATCAGCGACTTTGATTTTCCCACAACTCATGGTATAACAATCTTAAAGGGTTAAAATCAAATCAGTGAAAATTCGAGAGAATATTGATGACTTGTACAAGTTTCAATAGTGGCATATTGTACTTGAGTTTGCTGTATTTTATGAATAATGAGCAAGCGATCATCAAACACTAACTTGCTTTCAATTTCTATAGCAGTGGCAATTTCATAATATTAACACTGCCCTATAGATTCGATTGCTTGCAACGTCAACTTTTATAGTAAAATATCAAAAAACCCATCCCAAGTATAGTATATGCTCATGTATTTACTAAAGCAAGTGTAAGATGGTCTTTTCTCACATTTCAGAAATAGTTTTTTTGTTCATGCATGCATCAATATACGTTGATTTATATTTTATGATTGTTAACTTCAGGTCACAAAAGTTTATATGTGTTTGCACTACCAGCCTTCTGTAACACAAGATTGGTATACAAGATCTAGCTTTTATAGTATTGTAGAGCTTGGTCGAAAATATCCAAAACTAATTCGATGGCATATCACGTATACTTTTTTATACAATGAAATCTCAAAAATGTTTTCTTGTCATTTTATAGTTGGAGAAGATGTAACTTTAATCTCATAACTCTTGAAAACAAATCAGAGCAATATTTTCCCAACTATATATATTTGTACAAATTTTTTATGGAAATATGACTTAGAAATCTCAAATAAAATCCTGACGTCATAATTTCAAATCATTTGGTCTTACTCATCCCTGCTTGATGTTGAATAAATTTTATATTATAAGATGTGTATGGCTTACTGAGTAATATTATGTTGGATTATTCCTCTTATATGACAGTGGCAATAGTGTGTTCGATTATGTAATCGTAACTCAAGATATGTCTACACGGTTTGTAATGCTTGAATTCTACAACTTCTATTTTCCTGTCCTTGCATTGCATATCTTTGTATTCGAATAAAAAAGTTTTTTCATATTTTTAATAGAATTTTGTTGAATATACAGTGCATTTTCTGATCATGGTATACTCAAATGGTTTGTTTATTGATCTTGCCAGAAAATAGTGTTTACGATTATGTTGTGGATGGCGCTATTTTTTGGGTTATTCACATGATATACATAAGTAGGCATATCAGGGTATAAAACTTCTGGACTATTAATCTACACCAGATTGCGCATAATTTAGTAGACACATATACAGCATTTTTGCGATTTGTAAATGCTTACTAAGGGTTAGCCCATTCTCCGGCACTAAAAAAGCAATTTCGTATTTATCCCATCAACCAATATGGTGGGATCTCCACAATGGCAGAATGGAGTTAAGCCAGTCCCGGATGCTAGGTCCCTTGTACCGGTAATTGCTGCAGCCAATACGACGTAAAAATGGCGTTCACTTGAAAAAGGCAAAATTAATTGGGACAATGAAAATATTCTCATTTACACAACTTCCACGCCATAACAAAACGCTTGGGGAAGCGAGGTTGTGAAAATGGTATATATTTTATTTTTCAGTCATGACAAAAATCACGTTTCACAACAAAATATCATTCTATTACAAATTGATATTTCCATGCATGGAAAAAATTTTCTTCGACGGACTGGATCAGTATCTTAATTTTTCCTCTGCTTGATTTTCACACATTTTATGAAAGTTTTCAATGCTGCCTGGTTTTTGCCGCGTAGAATATTTTACAATCTGCTGGCAAGTTTATCTATCTTTCGTTTTTGTAGCCGGACAAAATCCCAACACTGCAAGGCGCGTTTGTCCGCTATTTTGTGAAAATGGCCGAATATCAGACCGACAAAAAGTCCAGAGACAGTCAAATGCGCGCAGCTATAAACCAACAGCTTGTCGAAACTGGAGAAAGAGAAAAATTAAAAGAATTACTGCGCATGAGACTCACAGAATGTGGATGGAGAGACGATCTAAAACAGCACTGCAAGGTACCAAATGAATATATTGTTCTTTACTTACCCTTACTACTGTAGTATTACTGCATTATGTATTCATCGATCTGTAGTCGTTTATCATAAATAGCCTATATCGTATAATGTACATCCAATTAACCGTTAAACTGATTTTAAACCTGATTTTTTCATGGATACTTCTGTAAGTTGAGTCTGTTATTTGAATATATAGGCCTATCAGGGTGCAGAATAATTCTGACCTGGATGATGCAGTAATAGGAAGTAGATACTTCAGCCAATTTAAACATTTCTTTTTTGTCTGATTACCCTCCCTGTTCAGTCCTAAATCGAATCATGAACATGTATCCCGTCTCTTTTATATCGTTTAACTATTGTGCAGATACTGTTTACATTTTTTGAGGCAAATAAACATTCATACATCGGAAGCAGTTACGGTACCGGTTTATTATCTATAAATTCTCTCAAACATAATCAACAAACATAATAGGCGCGGCGGTGTGGCTCAACGGGCTAAGCGTTAGGAATACGCTCGCCACCGCACCTCTAATTACTCTGCGTGGGTTCGCAAGTTCGAATCCCATGCAGGGATGGTTATGTGCGAGAGGATTGCTGGACTCCTCGCCGTCGTTGGTTGGTTCACGTAACCGCTGGTCGGTTACGGCTTCCTCCACCACCAAGTCCATGCTTCCGAAAACAAACAATACAGTAAAAACTCAGACTGGATTCCATGGCAGATGCACGCCCGAGGGCGCTAGCGCTCCACAAAAATGCACGCGAGCGAATTCAATTTTGCACGCCGAAAATTTGCAATTGCTCACCAATGTAAATCGGTTTAAATAGTTTTTAAATCAATAATCTAGTAATATAAAGATGCCAAAAAATTATAACTTTACAATTGTCGACTAATACTTGCTTGCAAGATTTGGCCTGATCGAAAAATGCGAAGCAAAAATCACCATATCGTGTTGAATGATAGGAATCCCGTGAGAAAAATCGCCTCCTCACCGACGCTGGCCAGTTATGGCTCTAATTCAGCGTATTTTTAATACAATAATTTTACACGGATGTACTGATCAGTACCGGTATCTAAAGTCGCACAAACACTCTCAAAATTAGTGACAAAATATAGAAATGATGTTTTGGGGGTCAAAGGTCAAACGTCCATTTTTGCTATGATCCAACTTATTTTTACGCGGATGTATTGAGAGGTATCTTAGGTCGAAATCAGTTTAGCGGGCGCAGTTGTTTTGCACGCCGTGAGCTATAATTGCACGCCAGAAATTCTTATTTGCACGCGGGAATTTCTGATTGCACGCCCGATTTCTCGTTCGAAAAGGCCATGAAATCCAGACTGGGTAAAAACTAATCCCATACCAGACTTGGAATGGTAACCGGACGAGAGGCCGTGGTTCGCCATATGGATAAGCCGTCTTATCACTTTCCTCTCCCCCGGGATAAATATGTAAATCCTATCCTATCCTAATCACTCCCCACAACATTTGAACCACAGAGTAATCAGTAAGGTGTTAGTACTGAAATGATTTGTCTCAACTTCATTCAAACTCATCTTCTTTCAAGCAGGCGCTCAGATCAGAAAGCTGTTCTTGCATCTGCAATATCATGAGTTTTTTCATTTTACCTCGGAGCAAATTTATTAGTGGTAGCAATTTACTATATATTCCACTAATATGCTATTTTTATTTTCTCAAGGAAATTCTCCGCGAACGAGGACTCGAAAACGTAACAGTCGATGATCTTGTGAGAGAAATTACACCGAAAGGAAGACAGACTGTTCCAGATAGTGTGAAAAAAGAACTGTTACATAGAATAAGATTATTTTTAGCTCAACAGTCAAACTTGCAATGAAGAATTCTCTACAAGAAGCTGTTATTTGTGCGTTTCACTTTATATTCTATGCCAAATGACTTTAAACTTCATTCTCAATCGAATGCACAATGCTCTTGTTAGTCTGTTGTATACTTGGGAAATGCCATATAGGCTGAAAATTTCTTGTATTCGGCATTTTTCTATTAAAATAGTATTTCTTATTTCGAAAATTTCAACTTTTATGATGGTTGTCTGTTAATGATTTCAAGGGCCTAGTTAACTGTGGGAGAGTGGGTGTAATGTTCAAAAAATATTGTGCAAAATTTGTACATTGACCCCAGTATGAGGCACAGTTCTTACGAGCTGCCACGAACATACCGCGGCGTCTTGATGATTTATGCTGTGACCACGGCAGCTCGCTATGAGTTTGTGGCAGCTAAAGAGTCAGTCGCCATGGGTTTTGGTCATAGCGGCCATGGTTTTGCGGCAACTCTAGACGCCACAAAATACTTGAAACTGCACTTGCCCAATATTGTCCTATTTGTACGCTTTATCTGATGTCATGACATCTTTAGCTTTAATTGCATTTTGCTTCTTTTCTATCAAGTTTTCTATTTGATTTCTAGTAAAATTAGCTAAATTGTATTTTGACTATTTGATTTGGATGGAAGGGACATATTTCAAGGTTTCGTGTTTTGACATGCCTATGGAATTAGTTGAGACTTACATCTGGATAAAGAGTTAACATGGATCGACGGTGTGGTGCACTGTGCTAAGCGTTGTCACTTGACCTCTGGTTATGCATGGGTTCGAATCTTATGGGGATAATTATGTGTGAGAGGATTGTTGGGCACCTTGTCATCGTTCGGTTAAAGCCTCGTCCATGCATCTGAAAAAAAAGAAATAACTAGCTAACTAATCCCGGTAACCGGACAAGAGGCCGTTTTGCCACATAATCAGATTCTCTTATCAGCTTTCCGCTTCCTCTGGATAGACATGCAAATCCTACTTGAAGTGTTATGGGAGGTATTTGGGGTTTTAAAATCAATTAAGCACTTAAACCAGAGCCCATCATGTTATGGTAGAAGTAGAATTAGGTGGAAACCAAATAACTCTTTTAACTGCTGAAGAGGCAGAACTTTAAGATTGCAATAAGAGAATTGTGGTATGTTGATTTTGTAACCCTGCGCTGTGTTGTGTGATTCACTATTTTTTAACATTGTTGCAGCAATAACTCTAAAAAAGCTGTGTTGAACTCAAGACAGATTAAATTCTGGTTAGATCAGGGTGGTCCAAGGTTGTCGGCCTCGCGGACCACACTATAATTTTTGTATTGTTCGCGGGCCACAATAGTGCTAAGAATAGGTAAACAATGCAAAACAAACACTTTTATTGCCCAAACACATTGGTCATTATTTGTCATTTATCAAGCTGAAACGCCAAAAAACTTACTTAAACGTGCAAAAAGTTTTACTATATCTACATTTAGTGTAACACTTCAAAGTCTTCATAACAGAGAAAGTGCCATACGGAGAATATGTCGTTTTAGTGAAATTTTTCCTCCCATATCTAGTCAAAAATCTGCTTGAATTGGTCAGCTTTTATTTTCATGTTTTTCTCATGTTTGCAAAATAACATTACAAATAACGGCAGATAATTTTACCAAATTTGAGATACAGAAGGGTAATTACTAAATTTTCTGACATATAGGCAGCATTTTTTGTGATAATGTTTAGGCTGGTTGCAAAAAAAAACATCCGGCAGGAAACATATTGTTCGAAAATAACATTTATATTTATCAGGCATAACCAACCTAGGCTAAGAGATTCCTCATTCGATTTTTAGTTTTCTATGAAGCCGATTCAGTTACCATATATTCCCGGCCGAAAATATCGACTAGCCAAGCACATTATTCAACTTCGCTAGTTGCCTCAGCTAGCCATAACACCAGTCAATTCAATTACATTAGTGATGTAACAATATGTCATAAGATTGTTTTGGTTATTTTTATGAAGGAACAACACCAAATGCGATTTTTTGTTTACCCTTGCGCAAATGCAACGCGGGCCACAAAAATGAAGTGGTGGGCCACATGTGTCCCGCGGGCCTGGGTTTAGACTTCCCCGAGTTAGATTCAAGAATAACATGAAAGTGTCAGGTCCTAGTGTCAATGCAACTTTATAATTATCTAGTTTATTAAATTTAATATACCTAGTGACTCGGAAAGACAGTTCCTCACAAAGTCTTGTGACCCCAATTTCCAAGTTTGCTGGGACTGGGTAAAACGTCCACCTAGTGTGACCGAGTGGGTATCTATAAGCATAAGCCACCATTGCCTGTGAAAACACTACTTCTCTAACTCAATTTTTATCTAGGTTTATTGAAACAAAAGAACCAAAGAAATAGAACATCTAGGATAATAGAAGAAAAATTCATCATATAATATACTATTAATAAAATATCCACTGTATTAAGATATATTAAATTGACTATATCAAGGCTCAACACCCAAAGTGAAAAATTATTGCGGTTATTTTCCGAAGCACAGAGATTACTATAAGGGTAGTAAAATATTATGGTGACAATTCAACCAAGTGATGAAATAAACACTTGGTCGTTTATAATAAATCTTTGAGGAAAGTGACACAGTACATATGAGGAAAGAAAAAAGAAATACTGAACTAAGAAATGGTTAAAAGGAAAGAGCTGTGGGCCCAACAGCGCAACTCCACAAACAGACTATAAGAAATCTTATTTAATGTATGCTGCGCACTCATATTTCTTCAGTCTGCCCTAGTAATAGAAGATTTATAAGAACTAAATTCTTGAAAGATGAATGAAAAGGTGAATAAGAACTTTCACTTAATAAAAGAGAAACGGAATAAATGTTACAATTGAAATGATTTACTTATTTTACCTTAATCAGTCAGACTTCAAGCCGAGAGAATTTGCAACAAGTCAGATTTACGAAAAATTTTCACTGTTAGTTCTGACAAAAATCAATCCAAAAAATGGATTTTTCAAGATCGAGTGAGCCATACTCATAAGACCAAACATAGAATTCAAAAAATAACCAAAATAAGGTACACATTTCCTATAAGGAGGAGAATTAAAAAACTATGTGTATTGTAATAAAAGTTATGCTAAAAGAAATTATCACCGTTAAAATCAAATATAGTTCTTAAATTCAATAGAAGTCTTGTAACATTCAGGCTAATAATACTGAAAGGCAGTTCCGTCAACTTGTTAAATATGTATTATCTGGTACGATCTCGAAATTCTTGAAGTCCGAAATTTTTTATCACCGTTTTGGAGAATATTTTGGATTCTTTGGAAATTCAGTTTCAGACTGAAGTTCATAAGTGTTGCCAGAATCCCATTCATTTGAAGCGAGTGAGAAAAGTATCTTCACATCTCCGTGAATGTAAACTTTGTTGGTTTTGCTGCTTTCCAACCTGAACAAAAATGGTGTGAATCAAATAACTGTGTATCTTTTGATAAGTATCTTACGGAGGAAGTATTGTGTAACATCATAATGATATCAGTAACACATTTTAAAACTGGAGGAAACTCCGTGCCTCAAGTAAGTTTGTTTCCATTTTTCGTCACAATAAAATAAAGAAGCAAAACAAACAAATATACAGGAAAGTAGGGAAAATCTAAATATGTTTAAGATGAGCGTAACTACTTGGGAATTGAGTTGAGGACAGGCCAAAATGTAATCCTAATGAGAGAGCAATGGCCGAATACATGGACACTGAGGCCAATGCTCCTTTCAGCCTCTACATTTCACATTGATTTCTGCCCTAGTTGAGCATTGGAAGATCGGCGTCAAAAAAAATCGGCGAACAAGTATGATGAAATGCCATGTGGCGGAGCAAAGTTAGGGTGATATTGGGCCCACTGGATTTAAAGAAAAGTCCAAAAAAGCCTTCTAGCGATTTCTTCCATCTTCAAGCCCTTTGCAATTTACAGCAATTTATCCACCTTTCCTAGGCCCTTTTTCTTTCCTCATCAAAAAAATTAAATTGCCATTAATTTAATATATAAGCATGTCCATATGAAAGGAAATGTGCTGTTGGCAAATATATATGTTATTCAACTTTATACCATTTTCTTGTTAATGAATTCAAAAATGTCTTCAAATAATAAAGTACAACAAAACGTACCATAGATTAACAAAATATCGTAGGCATTTTGATTTTGAAGCATTTTCTTTTGGAACATTGGCGTCTCCATTTTTCACAACATTCCCATTATAATCAAGGTCACTTGTAGGCTTGCTGTATATTCGATGGCGAAGAAACGTTTTTTGTCCTGGTGGCATGTCGCTCACGTCATACAGAATAACAAAAACCTTTACCACACTACTGTTTGGATTGAAAAGAGTCTGTAAAGAAATAGAAATATTCAAAATAAATTATCATTTTCTCTTCAAAAATATCCAATAAATCAAGTCCTTGCATCTGAAACAAATAACTAGCTAACTAATCCCATATCCAACATGGACTAGGAACCGTACGAGAGGCTGTGGTTCACCATATGATTAAGCGGCCTTGTTAGCCTTCCTCTCCCCCAGGATAAACATGTGAATTCTATCCTAAATCCTACCTCTGATATCGCAATCTGATTATGGATATCTTAAACACTGTATATCAAAGTACTGTAAGTTTAAATGAGCTGACTGAATATGCATTTACTTCTATGTTGTATTTAAAATGACTAAATTAAAAATCAATATACTAACCAGTTGTATTGTCCCTTTCCTTGGTATATGATATCCTCGCTTCCCATGTTCACGACCTTTGACAGACAGTGTGCCCATATAAGGGGATGGTGCGTTGTCATCAGATACATGAAAAAATTTAACTGGTACAGGTAGTTTGACTTTGGCAGGACAGAAGGATCCACTTGCCCCAAGTTGGGCATGAAATCCTTCCACTGATCCCAATACTTCAAGACGATTGTGAAGGATTGATTCCTGAATAAAAAATATTTATATATTTATCTTTAGTTTTCACAATATGGCTGCGGTTAACAAGACACTTCGAAATAACAATCTATTAGAACTGTGTATGATTATGTATGACCTACTCAATTTTTCAACCCTTGGGTGAGAATTTGGGTTAAATAGGGTTTGAACGTGATATCCAAGACATGCATTGCCAACAAAGTTACACAAATATACTTCCCAGCGTTTCTCAAACAGAGAGAAATTTTGCTGTTTTTGGAGGTTTATCACTTTGCATGTGTTGTAGTTTCACTAATATAGTTATTTTCACTAATAAGTTATTTGGTATTCATGGACACATTATAACCTATTCAAACTTCGCAAAAGCCAGAGTTCCACTTGCGTGGATTCATTAAATACTGAACAAATAACAGAAAGAGTTTTTATACTTATTGAGAAAGCAATAAAGAGATCTGAAATAGGCAAATGGGGGTATTACTGTATTGGCCAATGAAATATGACAACTATTGTGATGAAGAAGCGCATCTAACAATAAGTCACATAGTTAGATTCATTATGTTGTTACACATACTTCATTCGAAATTATTGATTTCCATCAGACATATTAAACACTTGAAATAAATTTGCGCTTCTAAGCAATAAGATAAATAGCAATGAAAATATACAATAAATCAATTGAAAAGGTCTATGCTCATTGCTCACCGAAGCATACCTTCTAATTGAGTTACATCAATATGTTAAAGATTTATCTTAATTACATCCAAACAAATTGAGAGCGAAAATGTCAAATAATTTTGTAGAAGAACAAGTCGGCATTATTGCTGTATCTTAATCAGTACTTGATTTGAGCAAAGCGCTAATTAAAGTAGATTAACACTGCGATACATGGATTATTATATGATTATAATTTCTATCAATAGAACAGCTGACTTGTTGACATCAACACACTTTTCTCGAAATATAATTAATAAGACATTTACTTTCCATGGATGGCAAAGTGTGTTTTATTTTTCGCAAGGAAATAATGATATCAATTTATGATGAATCAAAGATGACCAAAGTTTGAATTCATACAAATTTGATTTGAGGATTTAGAATTAGAAAACTAAGAAAATTGAGCAACGTTGCCATGGTAAAGCTTCCATTCTATTTCAATCAAATCACTGTTTATCAGCAAATTTCCAGCATTCCAAAATTCAAACGTATTGAAAATACAAAAAATACACGTACCCTGTTTAGGCATGAAGTCAGATTTTGATTTATATATACGATATTTGAAATTTAAAAGTATGAAGTTACTGGGACCTGATTCAAAGAAATAACATGTCTTTCATCAAATCCATATTCAAAATTAATAGAATAGAGCAGTTAAGTCATCAAATGAAAGATGCGCAAATAAAAAAAAAACTAGTATTCCTAATAATTACCTAATCAGTTAAAAAACAACTTTTCCAAAACCAATTATCTATTTCATTACTTACAAACTACAAGATATACCTTGAGATCATCAATTGATAGAAAAAATTAAATAACCAAGCAAGAATTAAAAATAGGCTTTAATTAGGACATGTACGTCATTTTAAAGGTGTATATACTGACTCTTAATCTGTTAATGAGCTCAGTTATAATAATTAAGAACATTTGTGATGCAACGTTGATAATTTTTAATAACGGCTTGCCAACTACCATATACGGCCGTGTTCAATTTAATGTAAATTTGAGCGAAATTAATTCCTGTTGAATTTGTTTCTTTGCCTACGTCACAATATGTATATTCAACAGTAATTTTACCATTACAGTCAAACATGAGCAATTGTATATATACCATTTTTTACGGACGATAAAGTGCATCATCAGCTTGGATTGGGGTTTGTCCATACATAAGACGCACCGGACCATAAGATGCAACCGGTACTGGTTTCGAGTGTAGGAAATCATGCATAAAGCACTGATAAAAAGAGCACAATCGACTTTTAAAAAAAAAAAAACTCTAGGTGTGCCTTTGTGTAAAATATGGTACTACAAATATTGAGCTGAAATTGATTTTTGTAAAAGTCAATCTTGAGTCTGCACTGAATATGACAATTTTCAATTTCGAGGCAAGTAAAGAGTTAATACTATTAAAAAAAAGTTAATTTACCTCAAATGATCCAAGAAGACGGTCAGTGTGAGTCAAATGAGTATGATTGTGGACAACAATTCCATTATTTTTCATACATTTTCTTCTACACATGGATCTTGAACTACGTTGATTGATCTTAGGCATGTCTTCATCAAACTCAAATCGTACGCTGTTGTTTCTCCGAATGGGTGCCTTTAGGGAAGTAACAATGTGAGGGTTATTTTTTACACAGACACTAAGGCAAAGCAATGTTGGTTAAGCTTGTTGAACTCAGGGCTGTGCGTCTATGTTTTGGGATGTTTTTACTGGATTCACTGTCATATTTTCAAACTCTCACAGTTGCAGTTGAGATATTGCAAGAGTCATATTTTCAGAATTTCAGTGTCATTGAACAAATTAAAAATTTTGTATGGAAATTAAGTAGATTAAACGTTAATTACAATCTATTAACAAAAACTTGCAAACGCCAATGTCCTCATTATCAAATTTGATTTGTTCAGAGCTGGAGTCAGGTGACGGTGTTGGAGTCATATTTTTATTGACTTATTGAAGTTATTGTTTATAAATCTGTTTTATCCAATGACAGCACAGCGCTGGGCTACATTTTGAAAGCACAGGATCTTTCCTATTTGGCATAGCCCTTCACATTTTTCTTTTAAGATATATTCCTTATATAAGGTGTCCCATAAAGTATTGAAATGTTTTAAAATTGCAAAGAAAATTTATCAATACCATAATTGTTTTGGCACCCACAAATGTATTAAATTAAGTAAAATACTTAAACAATTACTGATTGGAAAGCAACAAATCTGGTTAAGATATATTGAAAATTGACCTCATAACAAAGTTGAAATTGTGATTGTAAAAGGAGTTTATGGACACCCTGTATATACCAATATATACACTTACAGGACTAGTACATGTTGCTTTTTCAGACGGTTTATTAAACTGAAGTCTTCTTGCTGTTCCATGTTGCGCAACATTGGTTGAAATTTTATGCACTGGCTGTCGTGGTGGATTATGCAGATAGTTTTTGTCGACACAGTGACTCGGCAATATTCGAAGTTTTGAAGGTGGTGATCGGAGTAATACAGAACAGGAAGAAGAAGAAGTTGCAACTGTATTCTAGAATAACGAAGAAGATTGTTAATTTTGAATAGCAACAAATATAGAAAGTCATAAGTATAGAAAAGACAAATAAATATTATTATACAAGAAATTTATTTGTGTGATGTATATGTTTACAAATGTTGGGTGTGAGCTTGATGGAAAAGCATCATTTGAGACAGAAGTTAATGTTCATATTTTGTTGCTCAAATTGAACACGATGACGTAATCAATAATTTTAATAATTTTAATTTTTTTAACTTTCAAAACAATAAGTTAGTCATGTTCTGAAACTCCAAAATTTCCACTTTGATATACCATATGCTTCATTTTTAAGTTCTTGTTGAGGTTTATCAGTTTTTCTCCATAATTAATGGATCAATCAATGTGTCCACATATTAAAGCATTGTTATTTTATTCTTATTTAAATTGTTTTTCTAAAAATTCCCAGATTGATTATGATTGATTTCCTTCACCCAGACTATCTTATTGAATTATTCATGTAATTGTATTTAGCAAAAATGCTTCAAAGACTTCACGTTAATTCAATAACTTTGAACATTGCATAAGAGAAAGGTGGAAAGGTATTGATTGATAAATTGATTATAGACTCAAGAAAAAAATCTTTAAAATCAATCTATTTGTATCTATCTACAAATGTAATTTGTCCAAACATAAGATATTTTCTTTTTCACCCCGATAACGTTTTATTTACAGAAAAATCTTTAATGTATTTCCAAAACTGTGAAATAAATCTGAATTGACAGTGACTAAAACGCAATGTCACTTATTATTTCGTCATTTTATTTCTGGTGTCCTTGTAGTCTAGTCAATATTAGACTTTGGAATTAAAAGTATTAGATCTTGTCATGCTTATCATGTTTAAGGCATTAATTAAAAATTCAAATTTGTCAGACAACAAGCCTTTTTGATATAAGTGCCTTGTGCCAATACAAGAAGACAAATGACTAATGATATTATGGCCCAACTAAAATATCATTAAGATTCTATTGAATTTACTTTCAAAACAAGATTTAAAATTAGTAATCCGTAGGGCCTAAACTGGACCCTTGATTATCAACAATTCAATAATGTATCATCTATGATCAAGATTAATGGAGTAAAGACCGAGAAATACGATCTTACATAAATAAGTCCAAATAAGTCATGACTTTTTTTAAATATACATAATAGAGAAAAAATAAAGTAGTCACGTTGTCATTCCCAATATTAATGATATCAGGCAATTCGATGCCAAATTGTTTCGACATAAAACTGTAATTTAGATTCATGAAAATGACAGCTCTTGCTTTGTTTGAATACAGACATATATTGATTTCATTGATAATAACAACCTTCAGGGCATGGATAATGCAAAATAAAGGTTGTCTGAGTTTAGTCGAGGAAGACAAAGAAAGAATGGGTGAAAATAAAGAATAATATCAAGTAAAATGCTTGAAAAATGAAATACACATTTATTTGAATTTAAATTTTTTATTCATGATATTTGTTGCATTTTCTCTGAACAAGTCTCTTCGAGGGTCAACTCAGATGTTGAGAGCTATTTTCGTATGTATGTAATATTTACATAAATACATGTACGGTACTATACTACTGGTTTTACATTGCAACACAATTTATATTTACTTATTTTATATTTATGCAACAGTACAACTGTCATAAAACAAAGTAATAGCTATTTATGAGGTAATAAAATACACTGAATGAAACCATACACGCAAATGTCAATGCTCTTCCTTTTATATGCTGTGAAACAAGATCATTTTAAAAGCCATTAAATTATATTGAACTATTTATTTTACGCACTTGCATATGCTTTTGCAAAACAAAGAAATCAAAGTGAAGGACGTAAATGGACAGTTATTGATACAAAACAGAGTTTGCCAAAATTGAATAATTTACTATTGAAATATATTCTGAAGAACTATTTCAGTATTTGTATAATTAGTAGAATTTATATTTGGTTATACAGAATGTTTAAGATGAACATTAATTCGCTCATAATCTTTTCTTTTTGGTCTGATGGTCAAATATTAAATGCTGAAGATGACACAAATCCAAATGTAAATATTCTAAATTATTCTGGAATCAAGATCGAAATATATATCGGATATGACCAATTTTGAATGAATTTGAATATTATACTCATTTTTGGACATCAATTGTGAAAAAAAATGTATCTACGGTACTTTTATTCATGTTTCCTTTGTTCATATTTGATAAAAAATACTTTGTTACACATAAAAGTATGACATCATATAATTATGAGTCATAAAATAGGTCGATAATGGGAGTGGCTCAATATAAAGTAAAGAAAACTTATAAAATAAAACTAAATAAGGGCTTTTAAAGGTGTGTCTACTGTTGATATATGAATTTTGAAATCATGACTGTCATGAGTGTCAAAATATACATACATAAAGTTAAAGATTACTGTTTAAATTGTGTGATTGATTGGGTTTTTGCAGGCTTAATTACTTGTATGCTTGGGCGCTGGTGGATTGATGTGCATATTATGTAAGGATGCCATGCATGTCTGAGGAAGTCTGGCCGTGATCAGACAAAATGTTACAGAAATATACATGAGATATTGAGCAGCGAGACTTTTGAATTTCTCAGATTTTAAAACTCGCCCAATCTCCATGGGATCCATATTCGTAGTTTGGTGTTTGGTCATGTGAGAATACACAAAAATTCTTTGCATCTGGATTCTAATTTTAGCCATTTATGACACTGCACACATTGCTATAAAAGCAATCACCAAATCGGAAACATTGACTCCATCATGTCTATAAGATATTCTCAGATAGAATGTGGCAAAGAAGCAACAGAAAAGCATATAGTTGATAAATGGATAAATATTGAAACTATGAATGACAACTAGATTTTATCATACGTAGTCTACTTAATATCAAATTTCAAACCCAATTTTATTCTCTATGATTGCATCGCACGGTAGTTACAACATATTTGAGTATGCCTTTCAGACAATCATGATTGAGAATCGAGTTTTATATTTCATGCATCTTATCAAATTTACTAAACATTTGGTCACTCAGATTGTATATTGTAAAATCTTTATCTGAATAGCACACCTATTCTACACTACCCAAGTGATTTTGAAAAAGGTTGAGTTTAAAAGTAATTGAGGGCTAAAATCTTTATGGGAAAAAGCACGACGCACACTAAGACTGCAATAACTGATCACATCTCATTTTATATCCAAAACAACGCCTCATTCATCAATATCTTGTAAGGTGACGTGGCTTCATCTTATTTGTATTAGGTTATCTTATTTGTTGTTATTAAGTGATTAGGTCTTTAGTTTATTTATTTATAGATTTATCTTATCTTTTGTATCTGCCAATATTAATTACATTTCGAAGAGAGAGGATGACGCTTATTTATAATAAAAAACATGTTCTAAAATCAGTTACATAGGAATACTACATAGAACATATTATGATTCTGAGTAACGGAATAGCATTAAATATTCCAGTATTCATACAAAAATGATCAAGGTACTCTCATAGTGTCTGTACCAGGTTAGGGTTAGGCCATAATTTTGTTCCGATTTTCCCTATTTTAGTTTTATTACAAGTATGGGAACTCTCTGTGTTAGCCAAGTGAATATACCCCTTGCCCATATGCTTCAGTCCCTTTACACAACTTGATGTAGTGTAGGCGAACACAATTGATTACCTCCATTATGGTACACACACTTCTGGAGCACCATGATAAAAATAAAAAAAACATGTACTTGAATTTTGGCAATTTTTATGCATAAAACTTGTGGATATCTCGAATAAATTATTCTACCGCAAAGCCACATCCTTTTTAAAATGCTCTATCTATTTATTAAATTTTCATAATAAACGGCCTCCCTATAAATAGTTACTCAATGCCCCTATATTGGGTAACCGACAAATTTTTTCATATTAGTAAGAAGACGTAAATTATCTTGAAAAACAAGTGTGTTAAAAGGATTACAGATAATACCACTTGAGCCATGTTAGCAAGACAAGAATACGTAAACTTTAAATATAGATGGTAAAAGATTACAACCTTAAAGTTACTGTAAATAAACCTTAGCAAACGAGTTTCTTGATTTTTTATTAAATGATCTATTGTTTGTTTATGCGTTAAGAGATTTAAATCACTAATCTAATTTATAGAACAAGGTTTTGAAGAAACAAATAGTGTGATGTTTCAACATTTTGAACAGACTCAAACCCTGATTGGAAAAGCGTATTTTTGTTTTTATATATATTAAAGCGTTTAAATTGGTTCTCATGCAGGAAAAGATTCAAAACAAATCAGTTCTAATTAAATTCATAAATATTAGTTATGTTTACAATTTCAGATTTAAATTACTGTTTTTGTGTTCAAATTATCCAATTTCAGTGATGTATTCAATATTAAATTTAATTGAAAGACAAAAACCATAAATATCAAGATATGGACAGGCATATTCTCAACGAAATGATAACATTGTCATCTGAAATTGTGATTCTCCATTTAAATTAATGTTTTTGTGTTTAGAACTATCCAATTTAAGTGATGTATTCAATATAAAATTTAATTGGAAGACGAAAACCAGAAATATTAAGATATTTGGACAGGCATATCCTTGATGTAACGAGAACATTGTTATTTGAAATTGTAAATATCTCATATTTGTAGAATTTATACACATTGATGGCTAAAATTTTACACCACAAAAACTCCATTTCTTACAGAAGGGATTTTATTTTAAATCAGCCATTGAATTTTCTAACAATAGAATAATGTGAATACCATACATGGAAACCCACCAAGCCCAACACTCTTAAATGAAGCATATCGCCGGATGGGAACAGAACAGGCCTAAGTCACAATTTTGAGTTTTGTGAAAAACGCAAAAAAACAATTTGGAATTTTTTTATTTTTGAATTTCTAGATATTCACACTAAGTAAAGACCCGAGCTCTGGTTATTTTATTGTGGATGTGAATATCTTTTTTTGGCACTTCAGCTTCAATTCCTTCCTGTTTTTTTAACCCCATAATGGACTTTGGCCCATTCTGTTCTCAACAACTTCTGAATTTTTTTGTATGGGATGCAAGGTAAAACAAGGTGACTTAGGCCTAAGTTGCACTGAACAAATTTTTAGAGATGTAAGTTTCGGACATTTCATTTCTGATGTTCATGCCCATCATATTGGAACTTGAGACTATCTTTTTTCAGTATTTTTGGGTTTTGAGCCATGCTCTACAAGGTGGTGGTCTTGAAATTCTGTTCTTAACTTCTACAGTCCTAAGTCCAGCTAAAATTTTTCTTATTGAGAATTTCAAGATTTCAAGACCACCACCTTGTAGAGCATGGCTCAAAACCCCAAAATATTGAAAAAAGTGAATTTTGCAAAAATGTGACTTAGGCCCCTTCTGTTCTCATCCGGCGATATGCCCTAATAAAAGTAATTTTGAAAATTAAAGATTTTGACTAAATTTACGAGGTATTAAAAAAAATAAATAACTTTACCTCTGAATTATTTTCTTCCTGTTCATATTCATCTAAAATAGTTTTCCCGATTTGAAGAGAAAAATTGTCTGAGGTAGTAATTGTTGGCATGTCACACTTCTTTTCGAGACTCATCGCTCCTTGGAATGGTGGCCTGGATGATTTATATGCTGGAGTTTCATCAATTCCGTGATAATCAATATCTCTTTCATGCTGTGTTTCATTTGTTGTGATATCAATTTGGATAGGATTCTCTTTATTGGCTTTTCCTTTGATGTGAGAATTATCAAATTCAGGGTCGAAATAATGTTTTGAAGTTTGGGGTAAGTCGAGACTCATTGGCCGAGCCATAGTTACAAAACCGATGGTGGTTGGTGTGCTGTTCAATTGGAATTGAGAAAATTCAAAATCTGTAAAATTTGAGCTAAAATCATCAGGTGAGGTACTGAAGTCTAAAATTGTATCGGAATTCTCCGATGACGTTTTGTGATTCGAAAGAAAAGATGCATAAAATGTATTATTTTGACTACAGTGTTGTGTTTCATCATTTTCAACCTGATTAGGGCTTCTCAACTTATGTCGTTTCTTTATATCTCTTATAAAAAATTCTTTTTCAGAGTCTTTAGAGCAATTTACTCTTAGATTTGCAAAATCTTTTCCATCACTGTTAGTTCGACTAAGTTGTCTTCGAGTACGCAAATCCAGTCGTTCTAGATTGCTTACAGCTGAATCGAGACTGGAATGGCGAGTGCGGTCCCGTGTTCCTGTCGCCTCTCCATCAGTCTATCAAAAGCAGGATGGCGACAATGCCAACCTGCGTACGTACTTTGCAACATCTGTACTCTAACGTCGTCTGGAGAAGCGATGGGTGTTCCAACCAACCCCGGTGACCCGACAGGGCCATCAATTACATAATCATCAGACAAGTCACTATCGCTTAACGAATCTAATTGATTTGCGAGTTCTTCATCTTGATTTATGGTAACGCCATCTCTCGTTGCAATATCGATAAAGCCTGAATCGTTCCGACTAACGATACTGTTCTCATTTGTTTGCTGTTCTGTTTCCTCCATTAGTCTGTGAGTTTCAAACGCCTTGATAATGCTTCGTTCAGAAGGGGATCGACTAACACAAGGACTGACAGTACGAGATGACCCACGAGATGAGGAAGAAGATGACAGTGATGTTCGTTGGTATGGCGACAGTAGCGGGGACCCGTACGGTGAGACATCAACCCTTGATACAGAGGGTGACAAGCTATCTGATGACGCAGAAGAATGTCTTGACCCCCGCCTCGGACCCCTGTGGGCAAAACTTCTGCCGCGACTGGGGCTACCAACTTCCATTTGTTGTTGAGGCCCAATATTGTGACAGCAACAAAGGCACTGTAATTCGGGAATGTTTTTCTGTCGAGGCAAATATTGCAAACATACTTTGACACCGTTGCTGATCATAAAGTTATGGTTTATAGGAGACTCTACAAATTTCAAATCCGACTCCGATTCGTTATGTTCATATACTTTATATTGAATATTCCTGGGTTGGCAGCCATTAGTAGAAGACCACCAAGAACATAACTGAGAGAAGTGAATCGTGGAGTCGATAGCTTGCATAAGAGACAATTCAGGTATGGTTGAGTTCCTGAAACAATATATCAAATCGGGTAAAAAAAAATGACTATCAGGGCCCAAAACAATCCCTTGCAAAAGCCAATAAACTTCAATACATCGAAATAAACCAATACAGAGTGTAGGCCTACTAGGATAATGTGTAATAAACTGCAGGCCATTTCTCCTTGGTTACTTTCCTACTTCAGCACTAAAAGTGGCTGTGAAATAGAATTAATGTAATAAATAATAATAACATACAGTAATCTATTTTCACGAAATAGCAAGTATATTTGTGATCTTTCGTTAAATCTATCATTTGACTTCCTCAGACAGAAGTGGCTGTTTTATTAGGTTATATCTTGTTTTTTTTTTGAAGAAGTTGAACTAAGATCTGAAGTTGAAACATGCTCACAAATAGCTTGCTTTTTCGTGGAAAGAGAATATATTATTCCTTTTTATCACATTAAAATAACACGAAATAAGTCAAAAGTTAAATCAAATTGTAACAAATTATCTTACTCATCAGTTGGTTGGATCAACCACTTTTCCAACAGAAGATCAGTCTCTTGATGTCCACACTCAGGAAGCAGAATGACATCAATGATGACAGCACCACCATACTGCCAAATAACTTGAATGGCATTTCGAAAGGAAAGAGCGGTCTGACACTGAAACCAAATAAACATTGTTATTTTTTATCACCATGGAACAGATGTTGGAATCTGGAGTTCATTTCGAGTAATTTTTTATTGGTTATATGTACAAATAACTTTGTATTTGAGACTCTCTTCTTCTGTGTATACCTTTTTTGTTATGATGATAAAATAAAAATAAATAGCCATAGCAACAACTTCATTTGGATAACTTCATAGGTAAATAAAACTGAAGTCAAGTTTAAATTTTTTTGTCAATTTATAATAACACATTACCCAGTTATATGTAAATACAGGACAATATTCCATAAGTTTATTTATCAGTCTCATTTTAGAAATAAATGTAAGGTACCGTACCTATATTGTATTGGTGTAACCAATCCAGATATAAAAACCAGGAAGAAAATTACCAAATCAATCAATAATGTGAATAAATGGTGAAATAAATAAGAGAATATGTCAAAATCTAAATGTGAATGTTCAATGAACTGTGTTCTGTATCTAAATCCATCTTGTTCGACAGGTATATACAAGATATTGACAAAACCAACTCTAAATTCAATCAATAGATCAAGGATTGCTGAACACAATGTCATTGCTTCAGATATTGTGTATTTGTATTATAAAAATAAAAAACGAGCGATTCCAATGAAAAAAATATTGTTGTCATAATTTGTAACTCAATGACTGTGACATATTGAATTTATAACAAAAATACATAATGAATATATTTCTAAAATACTGGCATTAAATTTTATTAATAAAGGGAAATGAAAATTTATTAAAATATACAACAGGAAATGATTAAATTATTTATTGCTCTTTCAAATTAACCTTTGGCAAACCTTCAAAATATACCAACTGCTTTTCATGTGATAGATCAGATGCTCATTAACGCTTATACGTATATCAACACCTCATATATTAGTATGGCAATACCTTAAATAAACAATAGAAAATTTGCATGCATTTCCTAAAGTATTATAGTTGAATAATTTTGAATATTATGATGACAATGTCCATGTTCAAAATTGTATAGCTTTAAATTTGAATTCAAATCTATAGCTATAAATTTGTATTTCAGTTTCAGTATTTCCTTATCAAAAAATAAACCTGGCAATAATGTAATTTTTTTGATATTTCAAATATATACCTTTACATATATATTACATTAGAATACCAACTATTCATTGATGACCAATATATAAATAATTTGTAATGACGAATTGCAGTATTCATGATGCAGATTATACTAACATGAAACAATAAATCACATTGCTGAATATTGATTTAAATAGGTCATTTAAATTTGAGAGGTTCACAGCAGGGCGAAGCTCAATCAAAACAAGAGGGCAATGTTCAAATATAAGGCATGAAGGTCGAACATTGATAGAGGTACACCTTGTGTCTAGTAATTTAAATGCGGTACTCCCGTAGTATGTGTACCAGGTTAGAGTTAGGGCATAATTTTATTCCGATTTTCCCCATTTCAGTTCTAGTACGAGTTCGGGGACTGTTTGTGTTAGCCAAGTGAATATACCCCCTGCCCATAGGTTTAGTCCCTTTAAACGACTTGATGTAAAGTAGGCGAACAAGATTAGTTACCTACATATTGGTACACATACTTCTGGAGCGTCTCAAATACAGCCTATAATGAACATAATGATTTTGTATTCGATAATTTTTTTGGTTGCGTCTTATTTTTGCACAATAATGGTCAATAATGTTGAAAATTATTCACTTTTGGCCATTATTGATTCTATTTACTTTTCGGTAATGGTAAGGTGAACAACAGCATTATTTCAAGTTGCAAAAGATGATGCAATAATTCAGTGAGTATATTTGACTATGACATCATAGTATGACTAACCTAAATCTATGATGTCATGGATGTCACTTCAATAGAGGAAATAAAACTGAAACATCAATATAATTGAATAGATCGGAAATTTTAAATGGGTTATGTGAATTCGTATGAGTCAAAATATTTTTATGATAGCTATTAAATAAAAATCAAATATACCTTGCATTTTTGTGTTATAATTAGAAAAAAACCTTCCTGTTAAATTAGTTTAAAAATTTTAAGTCGGGTACTTATTCCACATACCTTAATGATACACTAAGAACTTAATCCCGTTTACCCTCTAAATCTCAGACTTACAGAAAGTCCTAGTTGATGTAAAACCCTAATGGAAAATTCCTGTGTTTTTCCATTGGACCATAAGAAGACAGCCCTTCAAAATTTGATTATGGGATTACATTAAATAGACGTGATTAGAAGCAACGGGTCTAGGTCTGATAGGATGGGTATTGAAATAAGTATTATTTAAAAATACTTACAGCTGGAATATGATTCATTAATTCATGACATAGCATAGGCACAGCTCATGACAATATAATAAAGCCACATGTTTATACTGACACAGTACTGTTATTTTCAAAACTTTCAGAACTTGTCCAAAAATAATATAAACGTGTCACTGGAGATAAGTTTTTAAGCACCTCTTAAAATAACTGAATAGGCAAGGTTTGGACAATACTTAGGTTTTTTAAAGTCAGTCAAACAAGCACTTGAAACTGAATTTTACTTATTGTTCAGTCAGAAAGTGACTAACAAATTTATACAGTAGTTGAACCTAAGACCAAAATAAAAATAATCACCAGTCGATGGTCTTTTAAAATGTACTTGAAAATTTAAAGATATTTAAGAAGATATATTTTTAAGAATTTACGTAAATGTGATCACAGGCTACATCACAGTGAAATCATGAATTTTGTCTAGTTTTACAAAATAAAAATAGGCAAAATTACTGTTTTTCTTAGTAAAAATGGCATTCCTGCAAAATAGAATCAAATTAGAATATTTCAAAACAAAATAAATTTCTGGGCAATACTCTAAAGCAGCGGTTCCCAAACTATGGGTAGCGACCCAATGGTGGGTCGCAAAAGGAATCTTAGTGGGTCGTGAAAAGATGTAGAAAGCTTTGAATAATTATACTGGTTATTAGCTCTAAAGCACTGCTCTATAGCAGTGGTTCCCACCCTTTTTTATATCGTGGCACGCTATTGAGCTCTTTAAATATTCGCGGCACACCTATCACAAAACATGAACACTCAAAGCCATTTTGCTCTAAAATAATAAAAAACAAAAAGAATTGGATGAGGGGGATTTTATTCATGTAAATGGCTGTATTTAGTATCTAACTTTGTAGTTATGGGTATTCCTGATACCTGTAATCCTGTATATCATAGGAGCCCAAAGGTTATTAGTGCAGTCACATGATATGAGTTGATGAGTTAAATGATACATTCATGACAACATTGACGACTTTCTACAACAGGAAATGACATCAGTTAGCTGCGTCATTAGTTTCTACATTGCATTGTATTCTTGCATAGTCAAACAATGGAGATACCCGATTGAAAATAAATTCATGGAAAAATATGAAACAAAAATTGTGATGATGAATCATTTAAAGAATTGCTAGACCTTTTTAGCAAAGGATCTTAATCCAAAAACAAAATTGGACTTCATAATTATCAAGGCTTCAGGACGAAAGGTAAAGTTTTATTCAAAATTATTATAAATATAGATGTTTTTATTCTGGTATCTAATCATAATTTGAAGGAATATTCATCAAATAATTTCAATGAAAAAAGTTACAGGAGTTTAAAATTCAAAAATATACGATTACCTAACTTTGTAAAAACAGCTTTTTCGAAAATATTGGAGGTTTGTTGAATCATCAAAGGATATTTCAAAAAGTATTACAACGTTTGAAATCACCAGTTGAGAAATATTTTCACAAAATGTATTTAATTCATAATGATATTACTGATGGTAAACTCACATTTCACATTTGCTGATGTCTCATTAGCAAACTTATGCAACCATTAATGGTTATTCGAGCAATACTGGCCTAGTTGTGTTTCCTTTACAGTATAATCCCACAACCATATGCTTACGTTGTCTACCAGTACCACTCAGTTAAGTTAAAAGTTTATTGAGCCTAGGTCCATATTAGATCGAGAGTAATAAATAGATAACAATTTCCGGGTATCATTAAAATAAAGGACGCACTTCCGGCCATTTTTAGGAACAGAACCATAGCAACGCCTTATTATTAATAATACCTGGCTATCTAAGAACATAATTATTTGAAATGATGGTAATATATTTTATTCTGTTATCTCCAGAGAGTATTATAAACTACGGTACTATATATTATATGAAACATTCATTAAATTAAATACAATTGAAATGATGTTCCTTGGCCTACTTCACTGCTCCACATTTTTATGATGTTAAACCACTTTATTTAGAATTTATCTTACATATAACAATTTACCGTATATAAGATACCAGTACTTAAATGTGTATTGATCTTAATGCTCAGAACTTTATTAAAACAGGAAATATATATCATTCTCTAAAGTAAGAATTGACCACCAATCCCAATTAAGAGTCATGTGACAGAAAATATGCAAAATGACAAAATCAATTGTTTTATATTTGATTAAATATGATTAAAATGAGTCTCAAAAATAGTATTTTTGAAAAAGATCAACATGATAATATAACAGTTTGAATATTTTATAAAATGACTGTTGCCAGAAATAGGTGTTCAGAACTTGCATACAAAAAGTAGCCACAGAAAATTGTACCTCATCGTAGATCAAAAATATTTGTAAAATCGTAACTTACTTCTACATTACTAGGTGAGCACTGATGGTGAGGTGGCGATGAATTTCGAACAGTGGGGCAGTGAAGTCCTCGTCCTCTTGTTCGTCGGAAAGCATCCCACTTTCGGCCTTGTATAATCAGCATTCCTAAGCTCGTAAAAAAGTCTCCTTCACTCAGCCCCGCCCTGCTTACTGCCATCTCTTCTTCTGCTGTATAACACACTTATGCAAGCTTTCAGCAGAGGCTAAGATGAATTTCGTTGCGAAAAATGTATTGTTAAATTTCGTAATAAATATACCACATTAAAGCTTTGAAAGGAGATTTCATAAACTAATAGCATGTTCGTACAATAGGAAATTGTGTCTATAACTGTGAAAAAAATAAATGAACAATTTTGATATCTGAAATTATTGTAAATTTTAATAATTAAACAATATTTTACTAGTAGATTCTCTAAAATTAAACTTTTATACAACTGATAAAAAATACCTATATAGCATCATTTTTAGCCAAGTCTAATTATTACCTCAAATCCCTGAATTCATAACTTTTAGATATATTTTTGAACCATATTGGGAATGTCGGTAGTTTCATTCCTTCAATTTTTATTCAAATTTATAAAACAGTATTTCTTATACTTGGCGGTGTGGCGCATCGTGTTAAGCATTAGGAATACGCTCGCCACCGCATCTCTGATTACCCTTTGTGGGATCGCAGGTTTGAATCCCATGCGGGGATGATCATGTGTGAGAGAATTGCTGGACTCCTTGCCGTCGTAGGGTGGTTCACATAACCGCTGGTCGGTTACAGCTTCCTCCACCATCAAGTCCATGCTTCCGAAAACAAATTACTGGCAAGCTAATCCCATACCCGGCCTGAACTGATAACCAGACGAGAGGCCGTGGTTCGCCATATGATTAAACCGTCTTATCGGCTTTCCTCTCCCTGGGATAAATATGTAAATTCTATCCTATACAAGTAAAGTTGCCCAAAGCAAAAGAGGTGGTCGCAGAGAAAAGTTGCGGCAAACACTAAAGTGCCAGAAACTACTAACACTATGAAAAATTATATCACTGTGAAATATGTGCCAGCAAACACTGATTGACCAGATACTCGAAGAAGCCCAAGTCAACACAATAGGAAAAAACAGCAAGGTAATGAATTCCAAAAAACTGCAGTTCTTGAAAAAGAACTAAACGAGTGCACTATACTTCAATCTGCCAAAATTCAATTCCAGAGAACAAAAATAATTTGGGAAAGGGCACCATTAGGATTGAATTAGTCTGTACAATGAAATTTTTATGATTCTATTTCGTACGGAATAATACAAAAGTAAATTTCTATCTAAATCTGAAACTAAGATCTTTCAGATTACATTATTGCGCAATTCAGACAGAGATTGTAGTATAATATCTATCTTGGAGAAGAGAACTTTCGTCTAACTCTTGATACTGTGTACCCTGATGCAATATGAGATTCCAATAGACATGGAGAGAAAATCAATAATATTAAGTGTTCAATACTAAATGCAATAGTCTAATAAGAAATAACTCGTCCGAAGACAACAGATCGATATTAACATTGCATATTACAAGAGGAGTATTACAATACTATCTTGTTAAACTATATTACCTAAACATGAACAAGTATAAATTGTTTTACATGACACTTTTAATTTTATTCCGTTATAAAATTAAAAAACTTGCTAGGGCAGATTTTTGACAAGAAATTTCCTCTTGTTCAGGCAGGGTATTACTTGGTATATCAAAGACTGTACTTTTCCACTCCTAAACAACAGTATAATAAGCACTAGAACAGTAGAAGAGAGATAGCTTAAATTCATGCAATATGTAGATGTAAAAAATCTGACTCATTTAAAGTATATTTGTTATCTTTTAATTAGCTTTAGTCAGGGAACTTCACTCCTGGATTAATGAATATAACGATCCTTAAATCAATAATGACAAATCCTAGTTGAAAGCACACACATTCCAGCATTTTGAGCATAAGCATAATTCGGCAACGAGAAACAATAGAATTTCGCGGCAGTGAAAGCAAAAGATATGAAGAAATATGACACGTGAACATTACATTATAAATAATTTTCTTTATTATTAAAGGTCACTCGCCCGAAGCTATATTTTTCTGCAAGGTTAATGCATGCGAGTCTTCGCTAAAGTATATCAAAGAGAGAATCGAAAGAGGGTATTACATGAATAATGAAATCGGAAACTTCAAAAGATAATTAAAAACGCGAAAGAGAGCGAAAGAACGTCTGTCCGACCCGAGCAATGTTTTGGAATGAGCTTGCTACGTTACGCTTCAACAGCTGATGCCCTTAACAGCTGATCAGGCGAAACCATTTTGCCGGCTTGAGGGGTAAACATTATCATCGGTAAATAATTATACAAAATACGGCTACAGCTTTGAATTACTTTTATAAATTATGTGATTAATATATTGTTATAGCGTATATTTATCTATCAAAAATCCAACCGTATCAATATATAAGCCAATAAGTATAGTTATATATATAGAAAAAAATTACACACCCCTCACTACAACTATTAGTTTCGCCCAATCTGTGAGCAAATCTAGTGAACATCTCCAAAATAGAGTTGCTTAGCACGTTGCGCTGGCCTGATTGGCTCGTCTCAAACGCACCTTTCTCTTTATGTAATTTCATCAAAACAGGATGGGCCGTTCCGTTGCTTTTACGACTAACGAATTAGGTTAAGAACACATACTTCGTCGCTCGGCAGTCTTTTATTCTTTTCACTATTTGCCTAATCGCTTGCAGATTCGCGCAGGCCGTGTTATGAGTATGACCTTGCAAGACAATGCAACTTAACACAGAGGTTGTCTGTGCGCATTTTCTTTGTCTTGGTTAGCATATCTAATATGATGTAAATATACCCTATTCAGTTGAATAAGTAAATTCACAGTGACATTTGGCATATGATTAAACTGTTTATGTTTAATTCATTTATGCGTGTAATATTTGACGGCTTCGTAATCTTTGACGGATTTCTGTTTTCTTGTTAAATATTACGGTACCGACATTCGATAAGTGACGCACGACGACACGCGACGGATATTAGGATTGATTATTAGGTCAGCATTACTATCGTTGTCAGGTCCATTTTCTTAAATGCGCAGAGTCTTGTTTCACCCAAAAATTAATCTTGCGAACATTACAGATAGCGGAAAATATAAAGTGCTCGGCCGGTATCCATTGTTTACGAGGCCAATCCTGGACGATTCCTTCTGAAAACCATTCGCGTTGTAACTGTGACAGTAAAAAATAAACTGATTTTTTTTTGTTTCATCTTCAATTTATTGTAACTCAGTTTACAAAAAGGGCATAAAACGCCAAAAATTTTTAATTTCATGATGTACATGATGTCATAAAAATAGTCCATTCGGCCATCGTGATTCCCAAATGGACAAATAACAAAAAGAGTAATTACACACAAGGTGAGAAGAAACCTTAAAGGATTTAGTGGCAAGGCAAATATGACTTTTGATGTATTCAACCGTGAATATATACTACTACATTCAACACAGAAGAATATTGATTCGCCCCGGCGTCGTCTTGACGCCGAGTAATCACACTTTTCGCTTTTTTGGTTCCGATTCGTCGCGAAAACTCATCGTTAAATCTCTCGATCGGGTGTCGAAAAACGGTTCGATTATCTTTGCACCCATCTACATTTGCACCTGTGACCTGTATACTTGTATTCAAATTTCAACATTTTCTATATTGCAATTTTGCGGCATTTCTAGCGAGACATAAATTATTACGCTATTTCCGACACTATTTTGCTCTATTCTTTAGCGATTTACCAAATGGACCTCGCTCGTATACCTTGGATAACTTCGACAGCGATTTAAGTCAGTAGACTGCAGGGGTCGGCAACCTACGGCCTGCGGGCCGGATCCGGCCCGCGAAGTAATATAATCCGGCCCGCGATGCTTCGCTGAATTATAATAACAAAACAGCTGTTTTGACGATTATATTCTTTATGTAACAGAATTTATTGTGAGACACGTGTAGACTTAAATTATATTATAACTTAACAAGTATATTATTCACAATTGCTCGTTTAATAAGCCTATAATTTAATTATAATTAGAAAATGGTAACAAAACGCAGAAAAGTTGATGCTAAGTGCAAAGGGTGCAATGGCGCCGAAAATATTCAAATGGCATTTTTTGAGATTTTTTTTTTTTAAACGGCGACTGCTTGTTATTTACTAGGTCGCCTTGACGTATCTATTGCTTTATTTATTTATTCATTTATTAAGTAATATATTTTGTTCGATTTAACTATATTTTATTTATTACGTTTCTGTTAGACTTCCCAGAGGGTGCCGCCGCTCGATAACCAGTATTGGTTTTCGGCGTCTCTTTTCACCCTGGAATGCGATTTTTATGTTTTCTTCAATTTATGTATATATGTACAGTTCGTACTTTCAGCATGGCGAAGAAATAAATTACTGTACTGCAATGAGAAAATAAATTTATATTCGTTTTCAATTTTTTATAAATACGTCATTGCGACCCACCAATGACTGGCAACCGTCAATTTTGGCCCGCGAGCGACAAAAGGTTGCCGACCCCTAGTAGAGAGATTCTTCAATTAGTTTAATATATCAGTGACTGCTTCTATCTAGCCCTGTGCGAAGCAAAAGCCACGAGTAAGCGTCGTATTACCCCCTGACATTTTGGGCTGGCTACGCTTTTGTTTGCATCCACGAACATCTCTGCACTTGCATACATTTACACCCATGAACATGCGTCCACGGATATTTGCACTTCTGGACATTTGCATTCACGGAATTTTTGCAACCATGAACATTTACACTCAGTGACACTAGTCCCTGAAGTCAAAGAGATTTTATTGCTATTTACGATGAAATACGGACATCCTAATGTTATAAATGTTAATAAAGACGCACTCACTGCAAGTCTCTGTATGCGATTAATTTAGATCCATCCATCAACTCAGATCGAGCACAATCTCAAAACAGGCGAAAAACAACACGCAGCGGAAGACACTATTATGACACAAGAATACAAATTAAGGACAAGTGTCGTTGCTCCATACAAAACCTGCTTTCGCCATGTTGTGATCGTTTCTCGCTCTCTAGTTTTATCTTATTTATTATTCCTTCCCATAGCATGTCTCTCTTGTCTTGTACAATTGGTTCAATGAAGACATGAAGAATTTACCTATTAAAATTGTAATCTGCCCTCATTTCCAATATGTAATTATACTTAGTAATTAAAGTTTGTCTTAAACACAGTTATTCGCGAGCGAACATCACTGTTGGTGCAAATGTATGCATGTGCAAATATTCACATTAACAATATTCAAG